AATCCAATCCAAGTATCTACTTAGGTATGGTAGTGAGCCCAAGGTCAGAGCTCAAGACGGTTAAAGAAAAAGGTCAACTTCCAAATCAGGAAAGACCCTGCAGATCGTGATATGAGATAAGCGTCATGCGTGGACGGGAAGCGTTGGCCAGTTCTCAACCTATGAGGTTATTGAAACGAAGTTGATAAAGAATACACAATTATTACTAACCTGGCTAGCACGTACTTAGAAAACTCTCTCATGTACGAACTCACTAGGTAAATAATCTAATGTAGAGATCTACTAGACTGTAACTACTCGAGTAATACAAACTAATGAAGAATTCTTCTCAATCAAGCGTCGTCGTCTAGTGCGGTAGAAGACTTTCACCGAGTCGTGAGGAACTGGGTAGTTCCCAACTCCCCATTTTGCAAAATCCCATTTACGAGAACCTAAAATCCATCTTCTCAATGTTTTGCTAACATGGAACCCATGATATTGGAGCAAGCTTCTAAAAACTTTAACAAATTAATTGAAAATAAAAATAAGCAATAATGCAAATTAGAAAACAAATAACTCAAATTTCACGCCCTAAACAATATCGACATCAACTTCCTCGGGAGAATTCCACCAACCACAATCACATCAACATTCTTTGATCGTAATTGGTGGTGCCACTCATCCCAGGGGAAAAGAATAAGAGAATACTCTGTAGCCCTGTAGGGCATTTACAAAAAGATCATCAAATTACTTTACCCCAGACTTGTGAGATGTTGATCAGAGATGTCATAGTGAAAATCCCTACTAAGCTGATCACTCTGATGATCTGTACACACATAACCTTACATACAAGCAAAGCAGCCAAATCCGAAAGCCAGACCACCAAGATGAAAGAGTCCAGAGTCAAGATGCATATTTTCAAAGCATACCTATCGGGGCTAGAATAGATTAAGATACGCAAAGACCCATCATTGTTGAGAATTATGGAGAGAAATTAGACTCAAAGACATCGAGATTCCTAGATACCTAGATTGAGTCTGTAAGTACCTAGACTCCTAGGTAAATGTCATTGTCTCGACTCTCGGCCCCGTTCCATTCTCTAGGTGAAACCGATGTCATGTTCACAGTTCAATTCAAGTGTCACACTCGGATTCCTCCCAAGTACCGGAAAGTGGGAAAAGGGCACATTATCGGATGGACACACCATTCTCGTTAATTGAACCAATCAAATCTTGATATTCTCAGAATTAATGGAGAGTCATGGATAATTACGTCGAATTGTGTAACATTACTTGCTGATGTCATCAAATTCTATGCAGGTTATGTTGGTTTGTGCGGCCGCCCGCCGATCATTGTATCATTTTCATCATCATCGTCATCATCATCATCATCATCATCATCATCATCATCATCATCATCCATCCATCCATCAATCAAGCACTGCCTGCAAATTGCAACTTGCAACTTGCAACTTGCACACTATCAACTTTCGCTCGACTGACCTCAAGTCTGTTCGGCTTTCAACCACTAGGCAAACTTATCCAGTCGCCATCTATTTCGGTACACTTTTGTCATTTCGCCAAGAAGGGGACGACTAGGTTATTCATAATCATCAAATTATTCAATTGATTTACATATGCATCCGTCTTCAAGGGTTCGGGCAAATAGAGAGAGGAACAATTACAGGCGGGTCAAGGACAATTGTAACCAAAGGATTCACGACCTGCATATAACAACCCGTTCAATTCATTTATTTCGACTCGGCGACGTTCGTTCGTTCGAATATCGGTACGAACGATGATAAAAAAGATTCGGCTCTGAACAATGAAAGGGGGATATTGTCCTCCGGCCAGTAATTTTCTCAAAGCTTTTGAGACCTCGGTTTCCCGTTTGATACCCCATACTTCCCAGAATAGTATTGCATTGGTTGCTTTCTATTGTAACGAAATCCTTTGGGATGCAAATCATTCAAGGGCCGAGACAACTATGATGTACTGTAAGGTTACCTTTGTCCTTCGCTTGCGGGAATATTCCTTGTAGGTGCCTCTGTAATTGCTTCTGGTCAAGCTAGTGGTCATCCATATTCTCCCCACTATTGTATACTGAAGCTTTTTCTATGGCATCACTTCATTACTACAACACTTTCGAATCTTCGATGTCTTTCTCAATAAGCGCGTCATGTTTACCATAGCACAAACGTCCTTTTCCCTACGAGGCTACATGTGTTGCACCGTTGAATGATTGATCTACATACTCTCCCGGTCTTTTGGAGGTTACCTTTTCAGTAGCCTCTTGGTCATCAGTTGAGATTTCACATTTTATCCGAGAACGTTCATTCAGTTGAAACAATCTACAGGCGCTGATAATATTCGAACGAAATACTCCCGCATTACTCCTCTCGAAAGTGACAGGACAGGGCGACGGAACAGATCCCTTGTCAGAATCCGCTGAGCTTCTGTGGCAAACTATGTCATTGGGGCTTAAATTCTTGATAGATCTAGCTTTGAGCCTATTGTTCTTGTCTTGCATCCCATTCAAATTACACCAAGGAGGAATGTTATAGGTTTACATGATGCTTTATGGGTCACATTAAGCTTATCAGATTAAAGTAATCTGACCATTAAACTGCCCACTGCAAATGCAGCTCGTATTGCCACTTTTCAGTCCTTACAGCTCTCATAATCTATAGCAATGCAGGCTGCAGCTCATCATCGCCATTTCATCATCATTGCTTTCACAAACCTGCGAGCTGATGACATCAAAAGTCACCACATGTCAGATCAAAGTAGAACAATGATGGCATAATTACATGCATCGCCTCTAAACATCTTTCATAGGGGTTGGTATGATACAATTCAATGATCTACCTCTAGGATGAACAGGTGCCACATATTCACAGACCAGAATGTGCGTCGAGAGTCGAGACTTAATATCTTTCATTCATTTATTTATCTGCATGTATGGGTAACGGAGTACATAGCCCTGGCCTACACCTTGTGCAGCAAGAAATCCTTGTGACGTAAGTCGAGAACCTTGGAAATTTCATCTCGATTTTTTATCATGTGACCCACTTTGCGACGACCATGTCCACTCACGTTGGATCATTGTATTTGCATTGCAATATGTTACAGAAGTATCCGTTGATATGATGCAAATATCATTCGATAAAGAGTTGATATTGTTGTGTAGAGTAATTGGAATATACAACTGCAGCTGCAACCGATTCGGGAAGTTTGGATGTTCCGTAATTATGTACTTTTATTATCGCGATGATCTTCATCTAGGAATGGGTCATCTATATTGGCATTGACGAGTGTTACCTGCCCCCCCCCCCTTAATCGCGATGAGAATATTCATCGCATTGCTCAGGGCAACTATGATGCTTCTGAGCACGTCAGAGGTCAGGGTCGTAGCTTGTCCCCCGGAAAGTTCTCATTGAACTTTGATGCTTTCAGTGCTGTTGACTCAAGGTCTTTCTTGAGTGTCTACCAACTTTATCAGGCTCCATGAGCCACCTCAGCCACTGAACACACACAATCATCCTACCTTGCGAATCAGTCTTTCCTCCTTTCCATGCATCAACTTCAAAGTCTGCGATGTAGAAAATTTGCGGGAGTTTAAGGAGTTTCACCCAGTCACCTCATTTCTATTGTGCCTTCATCTCATATTCGTTCCATACATCTCGTCTCTCGCATCTAATCTTTCACTTCTTATCACCTTCCTGTTCTCATTTCTCGTTTAATGTCATCATCAATGACCAACTATTCGCTATATGATATCCTCAACGTCTCTGCATGCTCCAGCCGTGAAGAATCTGTCTCTGAATCCCCATACAATATTCTGCGATGACATTGGCTAATCATCATCTTATTTCATCTACAGTGACAACACAAACGCGAAACTTTATCATATGAAGCACACACACATGCGTAAACACCACTCGACCTACAGCACCGAATGCACATACCTACCTACATTAACTCATACATCTATCTCTACCAAGAATAATGGAACAATGAATCAAAGAGCCAGAATGCCAATCCACATCTAGGGGCATATTCTTATACATATCTAAATATACATACATGGGAGGAGCTGTTTGAAGATATAAGGAGGCATCCCAACGACACCTTTAATGGAAATAAATGAAAAACCTACATGGAAATTCTATGGAGCTTTGGTATCAGCAAGACGGAAACACAATCTCTCTCTTTCTCTGAAGATACTATACAGATTACCCGTATTTCTTTCTCTCCTGTCCTCTCATCCTTTTTCGCTAAAGAAGTTAAGTGTATTGGGTCAGTATATGGAGCATTTATCTATCAAATTCCATTTCTATTTGGGTTCTCATCTTTCATCCATGGGATCCCACAGATACTTTTAAAGCGAGAGAAACGTAATATTTGTCGAGAAGAGATATCAAGATGCTGTTGCAATATAATAGATAGAATAAAATTTTACCTCATTGACTCTTCTATTCTCCTCCTCTCCTTTCCCACTATCGAAATCCTTATATCCTTCCGTTTATATCATATCTGTAGACTAAGTACATACATCATCCATACCATCGCATCGATATAACTTCGCTACGAGCCTGTATCATATATGATATGTATCTAATAGAATTTCTCAATCGTGCACCTCAATGTGTTTATTCATTATCTTTAAATTTATATACCTCACTCGGTCAGACTTTATATGTATCATCTACTTTCCTCTCTACTCTAATGTACTTTCGTAAGTTCAATCAAATGTAGAGTAGATTTAAAGAAGATATTGCATATCTGGCTACCTTCTCATACTACCTACTTAACATAACATCCCTCCTTCATTATTCACATAAACCCCACTCCCCCTTAAAAAACACAACTACTTCATTTCGTGCATTTCATCCCAACTCGCAAACCCACAACACCATAACCCCTCCCTCTACCAGTCCCTTTCCACGCATTCCAGATATAGCATCGCATCCCGATAATCAAGAACATTCCCTGCGAGAATAAAATGCTGTGTGTGAGTACCTATGTATCAGAGTAGAGTATGAAGGGTTGTGTATTATGTGTCTTATGTATTACGTATATACTCAATTCTCTCCTCTTCTCTTCTCTTCTCTTCTCTTCTCTTCTCTTCTCTTCTCTTCTCTTCTCTTCTCTTCTCTTCTCTTCTCTTCTCTTCTCTTCTCTCCTCTCCTCTCCTCTCCTCTCCTCTCCTCTCCTCTCCTCTCCTCTCCTCATCGCTTCAAATATAAGTACAAATATCAATCTATCAATCTGTCCACCTATAGTAAATATAAACCCAGAAGTCCCTCCTCAGAAACAACAAATCTCCTAATTATATATCTTCCTCTCCTTCCTTTCCTTCCTCTCCCCTCCCCTCCTCTTTATTCTAAATCTCATATCTCAAATCGCAAGTCTCAAATCTCAAACATAACATCAATTCAGTTAATTTCATCTAGTCCCATTTAATCTCATGTAATCTAATCCCATTTATTAATCCCATTTGATACAGACTTATAAAGTACATCTTCATCCATATATAAGAATCGAAAAACGAGGTATATAATCATACTAGAAAATGAGAAACCTCGAAAATCTAGACAATATAGAAACCAAGAATCTAGAAAGCTCTATTCTATGCATACCTAGGTATATATATAGCTAGGTAGGTAGAATGACTAAGTGCATGAATGAATAAATAATTAGATGAAAGAATGGAAGAATGAAAGAGTACTTTCATATACTCGCCAATTTGATATCTAATACCTAATAATCTGCTATCAAATAAACACCTCCCTCCTTATGAATATCAAAAAAAATTAATTTTCTCCTCCCTCCTGGGAATAACATAAAGCGGAGCTACTAAGCGATGATTTTTTTTATCCCCTTGCTTCCTCTATTCTCCTCTGTTTTCCTCTATTTTCCTCCTTTCTTCCCATCTCCCATGCTCCACTTCCCTCACAATCAATCTTCATTCCTCCCTTGCGTATTCTCCCCTTTCTTATTCCTTTTCTTTCCCAACGTTCCCATTCCTATTCCCCTTCGCTTCTTTTCATAACCACCCCCCTCTTCTCTCCCTCTCCTCTGTTCCTCCCTCCAAAATTCCTCTCCCCCAAATTCCTTCAAAATGTAACTCATCAAGTCCTCAATTCACCAATTTCACCAAATCCGCAAGTCTTCAAGTTCGTCAAGTAAGTCGACTCCAAGTCCAATTTCAATTTCAATTCCACACTTACATCTTATATATTACATACACCATACACCTACACCTATAAAATAACATGACATAACGTAACATATAGCTACTCATTCTCTACTCCCTTCTCTATACTATACTCCCTTCTCCATTCTATACTCCATTCTATACTCCATCCGCCAGAAAAACAATGTATACCCACCCACCTACCCACCTACCTGCCTCCCCTCCACCCCTCCACCCCCTCAAATCAACCCTCAAACCACACCAACCCACTCATCTCCAAACAAACACCCTACCAGCTTTCCCATATATATTTCCCAAGTAATTTCCAAATATCTGATTTAAGAAATAAATACACAAGCACACATAAACCTCTCCACCTCCACCTCCTACCACAACCACCATAACCCCAAAATCACAAAACTACCAAACTACCAAACTACCAAAAAATACAGAAATGGATTTCCTCACTCACTCACTCCCTTCCTCACTGACCCTCTCCCTCTCTATCTGACTTCCCCCTCCCCTCACCCCCTCTCTCAATCTCTCACTCCCTCACTCCCTCACTCACTCAAACTATTCAATCCCCCAATCTCCCAATCCCCCATTCCCACATTCCCATCTTATAAACAAAACACCAGATACTAATACATACCTAAAAGATGCATCTACACATACATCTACACATACATCAACATCTATATATCCACCTACCCAACCATCCATTCATCATTTTATCTCCAAATATACAGATACATATCTATACCCACCTGGGTACATAGGAAGCATACAAATACTCAAGCACCCAAGCACCCAATAATCTCAACTTCAATTTCAATTTCAATGAAAATCAAAAGAGAACATTCAATCTCTTTATCAATCTATTCATATCATGCTTTCATTCATATCTACCTAAAACTTCAAAGTTATATTGAATGAATATCAAGAATAAGAAAAAAGAAAAAATACCACGCTTTTCCTTCTCAATTACATCATAACATTTCCTCCTCCCAATTATATATCGCCTTGGTTTCATTCATCCATCATCTACATCCTTTCCTTCTTGTTCAAAAAGTCTCCTGATAACTAAAATGATAAACGCAAATATACTTGCGACCCATTCCCATGCATAAATAAAACCACCAACGTTCACAACGAAGAGGGTATTGAATATACAATTGCAAGCGGTAGCGTGACGCAGGGATACAAGTAGCATGATAGCAACGCAGAAATGCAAACAGAAAAGCAGTATAGACATTTTGGTACATGATTATTTATCGTCCTCGTGGTTTGCCTCCAGTCATCCTGGTCCCATTTATTTCCTTCCTTTATTCACCATTTCCAACCATTTTCTTGTTCTTTATATTTATTTCATCCCGTTCCCATTAGTTATGGCATACTCCGATGGGCTTTGTGCGCCACCATATGGGCTCTGAGATCCGTTTGGTTTCTTCGTTCGGAGGGTGAGTGGGAATGGGTACTCATCTGGGTCTTCCTCTTCACTATTGAATTGTTAGCACTAGGTCATTTCAATGATTCTTCGTGGGACTTACGGAAGCTTCCAGGAAACGTAATCTTCCGTGCTCAAACCTTCACGACCTTCTTGCAGACTGGCAAAATCACCAGGTGTCATCATACCGGTTCTATCTCTTGGGGATCCGGGTACGGAGAATGGACGGGAGATCTTTTGTTCCACACCAGGAATGAAATCATCCTCTTCTTCGCCGTCGAATGACGCAGGGTATGCTCTTCTCAATGCCAATTGTCTTGCCTTGACGTATTCCATTCCCATGCGCTTCCAGTCAAGAAGATCGCTCAATCGCTCGGTACGGTTTCTCTGGTTGATACGTTGACGTCTGCTCTTGCCAGCAAAGTCAAACATGTAGCTGGTAAGTTGGTTCACCGAGTCATCGACACCCTTCATTCTACGGTCGACAATGTAAATTCCGTAATCCGTCGAGTTTTCAATCAACTCCTCCATGTAACAACCGAAACCTGACAAGTTGGTTGTGATACTTGGGACACCCATGACTGTACACTCTGCTGGTGTGTAACCCCATGGTTCATAGTAGGAAGAAAAGACACCCAAATGAGTGCCTCTTACGAACTCATCATAGTCCATTGGTAGAACGGGGTTGGCGGAGTTCAAGAACTCTGGGTGGAAAACGACCTTCACACGGTCCGAAGGATGGTTGAACAATTGGACTCTGCGGATCTGGTTCAAAATTGGATCCTCAGAATCATTGGCCATGTTATGTGTGACGATCGGTGGAAGCCCATGTCTCTTCATAGCAAACAGACGTCTGCGGAGAAGGATGCGATCTTGACTGGTGATCAAATCTTTCTCGTCAGGCATCACTTCACCCTCATGCCACTTAAGGGCACGCTCGAAGATTCTCTTTCCGACACCGCGTTCAATAACGTCAACAGTGTCACGTAACGATTTAATCACGGCTTGTCCCTTGAGAGCTTCGACAGTTAACGATTGGGTTTGTGCTGGCATGATGATGAATGCGACAACGGTCATCTTTGACCCAGCAGACTTGAGGCGGTGGTTCAAACGAGCCAATGACTCTATGAACATGTCAACACCCTTATTTCTGTACTCATATCGTCCAGCGGTAAAGAAGTAAAGTGTGTTCTCAGGATCAAAATCATTGTGTCCATAGAAATGACCTCTGACAAAATCGTGGATCTTCTCCTTTGCTTGTTGATGCAAGTTTTGAAACTCGTGCATGGCAGAGAATTTGGTGACGTTCAGACCATTGGGCAAAACACCATCTGGCTTTCTCTTCAAGAGATGCTCCGATTCATATGCTGTGATATGTGAAACAGTGGTAAAGACATCGCAAGAATGCGTCGCTGCACGTTCTATGCAGTATCTGTGATAGATACCACGTTTTCCTGCCTCGGCATCCACGTCAAACCACTGTAAGTTGTTGTAAAAGTCCACTGATCCTGCACAGAGATATCTTCCTAGGAGAGTTGCGTGGGTAGTGAAAATTGTAGTAACATCGATACGGCGCTTTTTGCATAGAGGAAGTGCGACACCAGAGAGCCATTCGTGGAAATGTGCGATGACGGCCTTTTCTTTCTCGTGTGCAACGAACTGTAGACGTGTTAGTTTTAGTAATCAATATGCGTGGCGTGATGCAATGCAGATGCACTCACCTCTCCTAAGAACCACGCAACCAAGTAACCGAACACAACAGCTTCGTTGGTTTCGTCGTCACCAGGCGGAGATGGAATTCCAGCAGTATTCCACAAGTCGGCCTTCCACTCATCCAAAAACCTGTAGGCACTCTTGGTGTCGATCAAGAGAACTCGTGGGGCACCCTCAATCAACCAGCGGCCATATACCATTTGGATTCCTCTCTCTTCCATAGCTTCTATCGTTGCTGCAAGGTGGGGGTTTGTTGGTGTTAATGCCTCGACTTCCACTGCCGCCTATTAAATGTTAGACATGCTCCCAAAAGTGATTTTAATATTAAGAACTTACCGATTGCCTGTTGAGAGGACCGATGAGAGTGTATCGGTCTCCATATTCTGCGGTGGTAACTGGTGCTTTTGATTTGATGACGGAATAGATACCACCAACTGTCCAAGGTAGAATGTCAGTAGATATTCTTCATACTATTTGCCATAAAGGATTAATTCTCACCTCGATTAGCAACCTCGGTGGCTATCTCAAAGAGAAAGTGATTTTTGACGTCTCGGTTTGTTTTTCCCGACATCTTGACTCAGGTTGCGACAGATGTCGCTATGTGAATCAGTTGTTAAAGTGGGGTGGGTGGGAAACTGCAGGCGAGCAGATAGATATGTGAGAGGATAGTAACAAAGTTGAAGATCCAAAAAGTCTGTATGTTGAGAAGCAGAATGTATGTGTAATGTAAAAGTGATACTGCTGCTGCAAATGACAATTGTTGGGTTGCTTCTTCCTTTCGAGTTTTGAATCTTCTTGGAAGAGAGTTGTGTGGTGATCAAGGAAGGAAGCTCGGAGCTCCTCTGACGAAATTTATGGGAATGGTAGAACTAAGAGAGCTTTCCCCACAACTGCATTAGCGTTTACCGTATGTCAATCTGGCTGGCTGTACGAATGACCTCTGCTGTTGTACAGATCATAGGGAAAAGAAAGCAACACCAGTCACGTAGGAGAGTAGTGGCCGTCACCCCTCCATACTTTGGCAGTGAATTTGAAATCAGTCCATTGGGCGGAAATACTTACGACGTTGTTTCAATTGGCTGCCACTCGTTCTTCGGATGGATTTTGTGGATGGATTTTGTGGATGGATGGATGGATGGATGGATGGGTAGAAAGTTGATAAGGGAGTAGGTATTATTACTTTGTAGATGGATGATATATGATAAGCCCGAGGCTAATATACAGACTGACAAGATGATTGTACAACAAATAAGTGAGGAAAATTTTTCCCTTCTGCTTCCGTGTACACGTCGTTGACCAACTTAATAAGGATTGAATGGATTGAGAAGAAGAAATGGTTGAATTTTTGGATGGAGATGGAGGTAGAGATTGGGATTGGGATTGGGATTGGGATTGGGAAGATATCTCATCAGTTTTGTCTTGTTCTCTTCAAATTTCCCTTTCCCGGTATCGAGCGATAAAAAAGAAATCGGAAGGTTGGCCCAGATGTTGGTCGGGTCCAAGCTTTTCCTCTTTCGGACGTGACGCTAAACTACATATGGTATTATTATGGGATTTTGGTATGGATCTGGAGGGGTATGGGAGTTGTGATTGGCTGTACCCCAGGCGATATGGCAAATTGGGGGAAACCGGAGGAGGCGCTTCACTTTGGAAGTGTTTAAAATAAAAGCTGGCCATCCTTGTTGAACATGTTTAACATGACGCAGACGGGATGGGATCGTGAAGCACTGCAAGCAATCAATCAAAGCAATTTAGAAAAGCGGCTATGTGTATGTGTGTAGTTTACCTAGGTATGGGTAAGGGTATGGGGATGGGGATGGTATGTGACTACTAGGTAATACTAGGTACTCGGTATGTTGTCGCTCCTGCAAACAATGTGGTACTATACTCTCACTGTCCTCCTTCTTTTTACTCTCCCTTTCCGTCTCACGATGGGCGTCAAAATTGATCCCTCCCTCCCAAATGGAAGAGCATTCACTTAATTCCTTGCACCCTTACGAGTACGCATCTACCTAAATCTGTCAGAATCCGGTCGGTTCATGTCCATGCTAATTATTCATGAAGGGTTAAAGTTTTTCAAGATATGCACGAATGTGCCGATGAATTCGAATTTATGCAAATCGGTGCGGGGTTTACAGTTTACAGTAGAGAAGAGAGAATCTAGCTATGGTCCTACACATCGGTACGGTATTCCTTTTTCACTAGCAGATCAACTTTTTTTTTCTTCTTTTTCTTTCCTCTCCATTAGTAGCAACAACCATACAACAACCATACAACAACCATACCATCCTCCGTATACGGTATTTTGCTTGGCTGTGAGGAATCTCATGTATGTGTTTTCTTGGTTTTCTAAGTTTTCTTAGTTCTCCTAGTCCTCCTAGTCCTCCTAGTCCTCCTAAGTCTCTTACTTTCTTTCCTCTTATGTCTCTTCTCTTGACCCTCTTACGTCCCTTACCAAGCAATGAGATATTCATCGCTGCACAAACATTCCCAATCATCAAACGTCTCCCCTCCAAATGACAAACACGTCAAATCCCATCGGCTCAGCTCATGCAACCATGTCGACATGATATGATGCTGAGTGCTGAGTGCTGAGTGCTGAGTGCTGAGTGAAAATCCTTCATCATCGTCATGTTGACCACTTTCCCATGCCATTGCTGTGTCATAATACATGCACAACACATCTCCCTACATACACAATTTCAAGAATACCACTCAACTGCGTAAATCTCCACCTAAAAAGAAAAAAAAAACCATTCCACCATTCCACCATTCCACCCCATCCCACTTCTCCAGATATCCAATCTCCTCTTTTCTCTCTTGTCCTCCAAAGATAATCCTTTCACCATGGATCCGCTTTAATTCGGCCACAAACTCTTTGAACATACTCCGCGTTTGGGATCCACTTCCACAAATCCACAGTTTGCTAAATAAACCCCCCCCCCCCCCCCCCAGATCAAAATCTCATGCAGCTAATCCGTTCATAGTCACATGATACTTTTTTAAGGTCTCAATCTTGGTCCCTTGAAACCTTAGGTCGATCCAGTCGCTTTTGGTCAAAACCATGGACCATGGCTTCTCAAAGCTTCATCGGCAATCCCGCAACATTTGATGCAGACTCATGAGAGTGAAGAACTTTCTTCATAAGAATAAAATCTTACATCCTTAAAATTGTCATCAATTCCTATCCTTCCCGAACCGCTCATTACTCTCATCACAATTCTTCAGCCCAACAATATAACCCCCCAGCAAGTTTAGGCGCCACTCGTTGAGAATATCGCAAAATGAACGAGAAAGCAAGAGAAACACTGCCATCAACAGAAATTTAGGGAAAAAAACATCCCTTCACTTCACCAAACTACAATAGAAGTATCCGAGTCACCCTGGTTAACCTTTTTATCTATGCTTTGACGCTGCTAAGCGCCTCTATCAGCGAGGGTTATTACGAAAATAAAACGCATGTCAATATGCCATGCATGTATGTGCATCCCTAGGCTCTCTTCGAACCAATCGCTTCTATATTGGGCATTGAGACATATTTTTTTTTCTTTACTGATTGACTTCATGTCGATCAAAAAAGTCAGTAATGTACCATTTCCGAAGTGGCTATGTATTCGCTGGCGATGCAGATGTGTTGATACCTTCCTTCATCTCATAAACCTGTTAACGCTCACCGTGCAAGTACCATGGTGAACTTTGGGATCTCTAGGCAGTCAAGTACCTGCATTTAGGTGCAGCCCAAAAGTTTTGACTCATTGTTCTCAAAGATAATGCAAACTCGTGGGGTTTTTACCCTCAAAATGCATGATGTTTAGTTTAAGAAATGTTTGATTTTCCAACAGATATCTATCCATTGATGCTACATAACATCCACAAAAATGAGATGATGCAATCTTCATTCTACAAACTCAATTTTCATCCTGCAAACTCCATTTGAACGTTTATCTAGACGAACGGGATGATTATCCGAAATCCCGAAATCAACCCAATTTTTTTTTAGGACAACGAGCAAAGTTCAATTGCTTCTTGGATCGAGTACAGAGAATTTAGTTCATGCGCAGTGAGTACTATGTTCCTAGTCTTGAGTCCCTGAAAAGCTTGTTGCGTTCGCTCTTCATCTCATTTGAGAGTATGTATTCGCGGGCTCATGTTCTAAATCACACAAATTGAAACCAGTAAAATGCAATTACAATCTCTATATCTGAATTCTGCTCGAGTACCAGTCAATCATAATTTCCCATCCAAGTATGGTTTTTATTGTTCCAATTAAGTCATCGAGATTTTCTTGGCTGGGTAGGTCTATTCTTACCCCATGGGAACAAAGAAATATTCATTTTCTGTTGTCCTCCTCATATCGATTAGCTCATTTTGCTATAATCACATATCATCTATCTATCTCACTCTTCCTAAGTCATTGCGGAAATTCATTTTTTGTAAATCAGTACTTTGTTTGGTTATTTATGGGGGGTTTTATTGTTGCCAAATTTCCATGGGGTTATCTTTCTCCGCGCAGAGTATATCACCAGGATATATCTACGACTTACCTTATTTAACCATGTGAAAAGTTATAATGAAAAAATCTACTCCTCATCGAAATCACCAACTGTATCACAGTCAGAATCCAACCATAAGTTCTCACGAATCATGTTAAGTAATTCTGAGGGACCACCAACGGACTCACTTGCAACTGTTGTAGACTCCTTGTCCTTGCAAGGAGGGTCTGACAGTGATTTCTGTGAGGTGTCAGTAACAAGTTGTTCTGAATCTTGATTTCGTAGTTCGGGTGATTGGAGTTGAATCTGTTTTTGGAGTTCAGCAAGTGCTTTGTTTTGATCTGTAGGATCTTCGTCCTTGTTGACATTAGTACAACTTGAACAATTACAGGATTGACCTTTAGGCAAGGCCTCGTGATAAAGCTCTGAGCAAGAAGAACAGAGGCAACGGTAATTGAAATCATGCGCTTCCATCTGCTCACCTGTGGATTGTGTTTTACGATATTGAATACAATGAATGCACCAACACCTATTGTATTTAGTGTCGTGGAACCAATGAGGTTCCATGCTAAATATTGCCGGGGTTTCGATATCGCAGCGGAATTTTTGGGCTTTGGTTGGGTGCAAAATATCGCTAGATTCGTAGTCTTGTATCAATTCGCCAAAGTTCATAGTCTCAAAACCTTCTAGCATATTAGGAACAAAGTCGTTGTCCATTGTTTCAGAAGTTTCTGGAGAGAATACTTTACCAAAATCAATTGGAGATGGTAAATCGAGTTTAAGTAAGGAGGCTGGAGCTCGGTTCTTTCGACGGGGCACCTCGGATATCCTGGGGGCGTTCTCTTTACCTCTCTGTTCGAATTCGTAATTGTTGCCAATAACGAATGTAGTTTGGCGAATGTTTGAAGATATATTCATCCTTGAAGGAGGACACTGGAGGTTGAAGGAAGATTCTTGTGAATAGTCTGAGCTGTTGCTCAGGGAGTTTGGTTGCTCGCTATCTTTTGCTCGACTGTAATTTTCATGTGCTAATCTTTCTTGCTCCTCCGCCTGTTCGAGTTGGAGAAGTAAATCATCCAGATCTTCCTCGTTAGAATCTTCGTCATCTCCATCATACATATCGTCTAGTGGGATTGTTTCGAATTCTTCCTCTCCCTCTTTTGGAGCTTCGAGGATAAACTCTGAGCTGTTGTTAAGAGGTAAGTGAGAAAAGGCCCAAGATGGATCTTCGAGCATGTTGTCGAAACCAACATCGGTGAAATTCCAGGATGACATCTTCGAATTGTTTTGTGTGTAGTTCTGGTGTTTTCTGATACAATTAAACTCTAATGATAAGATAATGAGTATTGATAGAAGTCTAGCTTACTATGAATATCGATCTTGTCAGAGAGAGTTTGTAATGAGAGAACACTTGGTCGGTACTTGAGGGATGATTTATACACATCGAAATCACGCAGCATTTATATCATTTTGCGAGCACTTGTTCGGAAGTTCATGAACAACAGTACATTTGCAGTCTAAAAATTATGAAGCAATATAGTTTATCTCCCTATCATGCCACTAGTATCGCGTTTATTAGGGAATGGGCTACACAGAAAGAAATTTGGAATAGAGCATGAAAGGAAAAAGAGGACTTCTCACAGAATTTGGACTTTCGCTTAGATATATACAAAGGAACTGTTCTTTTGGCTTTGTTCTTTTGAATGAACGAGGAACGAGTATTGAAACATACAATGTAGTTGTTTCCCTTTTATGTTTTCTTCATAAAGAAATCGTTGTTCTTTGTTGAAGAACAGATACATATACTTCCATCAATACAGATGCTGAACAATTCCATTCTTTTACTCACGCATATCCTTTCAACACAACAGAACAACTCAAGTAAGTAAACAGTTTATTTTATACTATCATACTTATACATATATTTCATTACACCAATCACAACTCTTATACAATAATACCAGCGCTGGTCGCAGAGAAATATTTTCATCATTCCATACAATTAAACGAAAGAAGAGAAAGGCAAAATAAAGCAAACATGGGGAATAATAAAAACAGACGTAAGAACTCCAACTCTGGTGGTGGTGCTAATGATTCTAGTCGCAAACCTCATAATAATAAAGGAGGAAAAAAAGGTAAGGGAAGAAATAACAATAGCGAAAATGAAGGAAATCAAGATAAGGGCAGAGTACCCAAAGAATTCTTAGAATGTCGTATCTGCGAGGGCAAATTCCATTGGGAATCAGATTGTCGCAAGAATCCAGCTGGAGAGGGAAAGAGAGGAAAGGACTCACCAGAGTGTAGAGAGTGTGGGGGAAATCATTGGGAAGATCAGTGTCGGACTTGGAAATCGAAAAATGGTGGAAATGGGAAGAATGATAATAATAAAGGTCGTGGACAAGGAGACTCAAGCTCAAGTTCGGACTCGGATGGGGGAGAATGTCTCGCGCCAACTGGTGAAGATATAACTCAGTTTTTCCCAAATGGTAAATATCCCAACCGGCCGTGCAGAAAATGTAAAGAGTCGGGTCATTGGAATAATGCCTGTGAGAAAGATGGATTTCATCCTATCAGTAACCCAAACCCGGGTGCGGCCCGCGCGAGGAAGGTCAGTTTCCAAGATGGTCAGAGTAGAGGACAAGTCGACTCGGCATACAATCAATATCATTCTCCTCCCAGAACACAAGATAGGACGTGGAGTACCAGCGAAAGCCCACCTGTAAACTTCGGACATACGCAACAGCGTTCTGGTACCGCGATGGAGTATGAGTATGCCGATCCTCAGTATTCTAATCAACAGAACCAAAACCAAACCCAAAATTCCATTCGCGAACACATCAACCCCAATACCGATACCCCCGACTACCATCCCCAACCCACACACCAAGCCCCCTACCTCACGCACCCCGAAACCCCCAACCCCGACCACCCCGACCATCCAGACTCCTCCTTCTACCAAGCCCGCTACCGCTCTTCCATCTGCACCCTCTGCCACGCCAGTGCGCACAAATCCCACGACTGTCTCACCTACCGCTGGCTGCTCCCTCGCACACATTCCGAATGGCGTCCGCATCCTAACCTACATCATCCCTCCAACGCGCTGTACCCTCGTCCGAACGGCTACTGGAAAGGTGACCCTACGAAAATCCCAAGTAAGAATACGTATATCTGGCCGCATCCGGAAAATGTGCAGCAGGGGAGATATTGGGGGGAAAATGAGTGGGAGGATACCGGAAAGGATGTGTGGATTGGAGAGGATGACCGGGAGGGCATGGGTGGTAGATGGGGTATGGCGCCGGGGGGGTGTGGGGGTGAGGAGAGTGGAGGCATGTGTAGGTTTGATGGGTTGGGGGATGTGGTTATGGTGGATATTTTGGACTGGGAGGTTAGGAGGTGGAGGGTTAGACAGGTGAGGGAGGAGAGGGAGAGGGAGAGGGTGGGGTGGAGGGGGTGGTAGGTGGGCTTTTGGTTTGTTTGTTTCTTTCTTCCTTTCTCATTTTCCATTTTCCTCTTCTTCTTTACTATTATTATATCAGATAGCGACGTAGAGATACAAGCTACAGATTCTCAAAAGGTAAGAAATTTCTTTTTCCTTGGGTAGCTTTAACTTCTTCCTGTTCTTCTCCTTCTCCTTCTTATTACCTGTTTTTTACTTCAAAATATCTGCTTTATATATATCAACTCATACAATTTCTCAATTTCTCAATGATTCCTATCGTATATACATAGGTATGTAACAAGTGATTTCAAGATGTTTTGATGTTTTGATGTTCTATTAATTCCGTACCCTCTGAAATAAGTTTACTTTTGATTGCTATAGATATTCAATTCTTATGCTCGTGTTTTATTTTACGGTATCTCTATCTAGATATTTTATCGAACTTTGATATCTTCCTCTCTCTCATCCTCTCTCTCTTCTCCCCCATATATATTCATCCATCTCCATCCATCCATCTCTATTTCATAATTTCACGCATATATTCACCCACCATACCTCTCTCTCATCTTCTATTACCTACTAGAACCTCAAATACAACTCTCTAATATCAATCGAGTCTGTAAAGTAAACTGATTTTTATCTGTTAAGAGGAGATGAGTAGATAGGTAGAGATGAACTGATTTCGTCTTGTTTTATTTGATTTTGATTGCATTTGATTTTAATTGCATTTCATTTTAATTTTGATTTATCTCATTTTCTCTTACTTGGTTTGATATATAATATCTAAACATATAGTATACATAAAATACCTATATATATACATACATATATACATATAGTATACATAAGATATACCTACATACCTACATACCTACATACCTACATACCTACATACCTACATACCTACATACCTACATACATACATAAACAACAAACCCAATCAACCAACCAATCAATCAATCAATTACAACACCCCCTCTCCCGCACCATCTCAAACCATCCAAATCATACTACCAACAATAAAGAAATCTCCATATACCTACTATCATATCATACAATACTACCATGAACTACAACACTACAATACTGTACATAATACTACAACTCGAAACACAATATAATATAATATATAATAAAATATAACACAAGTCATCCACTCCACATTTGTCATTTCTATTATTATTATCTCAATCTTTCCCCTCCTATCCTATTCTATCCTATCTCATCATCTGCTATTCCTATTCCTATTCCTATTCCTATTCCTATTTCCCCATTCTATATTCTCAAAATCTAATGCAGAAACTAACACAAAAATTAACCCAACGAGAAACTCGAAACAAAAGAAACTCGAATCTCCCCCCACCCCCCCCCTTCCCCCAAATTCCGCATCCGTCCCAATCCCAAACCCCATCCCCCCAAAAACAACAAAAAGACAAAGCCCACCACAAAGACCACCCCCCATTCCCAATCCAATCCAATTTCCCCCCCACCATTTCCTTATCTCTTTTCTTTGTTCTGGTGATGCACAAAATACGAATATGGTTAGTTATCTTATTTCTCTTGTACTGTGTAGGTAGGTAGGTAGGTAGCGAGAGGGTTGTAGGAGGGAGAAGGTATGAAGATGTGGATGTGGATTTTGTGATTAATTGGAATTGGATTTTGTGGTTATACTACATACATGTATGTGTATCTATCCATCTATCTATCTATCTAAGCACATAGCTAGCTATATCTTTCGTCAACGAAACGAAGAAATCTTGTAGATACGAGGGATTGTGAATACGGAAGATAGGTAATTCAGCTCAGTTTAGTCCAGTTCAGTTCAGTTTATTTACCTCTTTTCCATCCAATCCAATCCAATCCATCCCATCCTAAAATCAACACACCACCAAACGCACCTCAAAATGCAACCCGGAAGCATTCTCCAAAACTACACTGGTCCCATGCCAGACTACGGCGGGACGCCCAATCCACGCAGCAAGCCCACAGTCCCAATGAATCGACGTCGCTCCTCCAGCACCATCAAAGCGATCCCCCGACGCGGCCAAACGCTCGCGGATGATCTCGCCGATTTCTCCAGTTTTGGGAATTCTTCTGCATCCAGTGCATCGCCTTCACCTTCTTCTTCCGACGATGAATTCGAAGACCAAGTACAAAGCAGAAATATCCCCGAGACACCCCTCCAAGCGAAAGCGCGTCAGCAAACCGAGCGACTGCTCGAAAGGCACAATAAGTATATCAAAGATCACAACGTGCGCACGGATGTTCCATTCCAAGCCCCCGCCCCAGCCCCAGGAAAGACTCCCGCACCCGCACCCGCCCCGCTCTCCAAAGCCCAAAAACGATTTTCCCAAACCGGGAATGCGAAAGCCGCGCAGCCATCTTCAGCCGTGCCTCTATCCAAAGCTCAGAAACGAGCTTCGCAGCCCGAAAACACGGGAGGCAAGGCGAAGTCCTCATTGGAAGAATTTATATCCAACGCTGAGAGACGAGTTTTCCAGACCGAGGACAGCGGAGGCAAGACAAAGGCATCTCCAGCAGTCCCTCTATCCAAAGCTCAGAAACGAGCTTCGAAGCCCGAAAACACTGGAGGCAAGGCAAAGTCATATCAGCAACCTCCGCGATCTGTCTCTATGGGCGGCCGATACATGCCCGTGGATGAAGCAGAAATGGCACCGCGTCGTGTGCCTGCTCCCGTGCAAACGGTAAAGCCGCCTCCGCTCTCTGATGGGCTCTTTGCGACCATCTCGCGAGAATATGGGTGGGATTGGTTGTGGTGGCTCATCGTCCCGCTTGTTCTTCTTGTTCTTGCATTTTATGCAAGTCGGTGGGCGCAAGAAAATGAGCTTGCTATCGAGGCGATGAAAATGAATGTTGAGGAAGCGAAGAAGGGCAGGTTTAAGGTTAAGGCCGAGAGAGCGAATGGGGAAGCGGTGGTTGAGATTGTCTCTGCTATCAGTGATGTTGCGAAGATATCATTGGATGAGAATGGAACTCTTGGGAAATTAACCGATAGTCCCTTTAATCAAGCCGTCCTACCTATTGAAGCACTCCGAAAAGAAGTTGTGGAAGCCGAAGGAAAAAAGTCTCAACCTCTCCTCTGGAATATCGATAAGTTTGTCGACAAGAATCGAGAAGTAGATCACGCGTGGCGTTCTTTCCTTGAACAACAAATTGAAGCGACTGCGGAACTTACAGGTATATTTGATGGGTATGCTATGAACGCTGGTTTTGAAGAAGACCATCCAAACTGGATAAGAGCTGCTCATAACATCACACATCACGACTTCACTGACATTCCACAAAAGACATATCGTGAAGGCGAACAAATTCTCTGTCAAATACTCGGAAAGAAAGAAGGGCCCAATTGTCCTACGATCGGTAAAATGTTGATAGATGTTTACAATGATCTCAAGCAAGGACTTGAAAAGCCCGGTATCAAGGTTCCACCAAATACATTCGAGACATATTCAGCAGCGACAACTAACATAGCCAAAGCCATCAAGTCAGTACTTAAGGGATGGGAGAAGGCAGCGGACAGAATCGAGGCAGCAAGACTATTATATAAAGATGAACATGCTATAGGAAATGTAGAGAGGGTGGATGAATCATTGGATAAGACCTCAAAAGCTCTAAACGATGCAATGTGGAGCTCACTGGTAGAGCGAATAGGAAGTCCAGAGTATCCAACAGCCGTCAGAAGACTAGCAGAGGCGAAAGTTTGGATAAAAAAGTTACAATGAATTTGCCTTGCAATTTGATATTCTTGGGTTTTGTTCCTCGCGTGGAAGATAGAAAATGGGGTTCAGTGCTTTTCTGCATTGTGGATTGATTTTGTCCCTGGTGCGTGTTCATAAGACTATTGGCTTGTAGGTACTATCTAGTTTACCAAATTGTAGTATTTTACATAAATTCCTTGTTGAGCTAGCACCTGCCACATGTGAAGCCTTTGGCAGATGAACACATGGTACTTTGAATGCATATATGTCTGCAGAGTAGGCGAGAGCAAGTTTACCAATGGGCACTGTTCGCACACACAGCTATGCGAGATCGCCTAGATAATTGGCCATCCAATCTGAGTGATATTAGCCAAAATCGGGGCTCATGAAAAACAATAATTGGAACAATTGGTCAGCGAGTCAGCCAAGTTCGAAATGTTTCGGTTTCGTTTATGGCTGTGAAGCGGTTGATGGATAATGACCAGAATTTTCGCCTTGCGACGAGGACCTGCCTGTATGATTCACGCATACGCAAACCCAGCGGTGTGGCAGCAAATAAAACGATCCTCTGTAAGGACAATGGAAGATAAAAGCGGGACGGATAGAAGGATAGTTCAGGTTTATGACCAAATCTGTCTCCTTGCATTTTTGGATGAATAGTTGGTTGCATTGCAGCCGAACGAACTGCAAGACATCTCCAATCAAACGAAGGAATTCGAGCAAAGATCTGAGGAGTGAGATTGATAAGATAACGAGAAGATATAGGAAGGACATTGACGTCAAAAAGTATTGATTCGAGAATCTGCGGGGTAATCACCCGGCTTCCCATCATATTCTCACATTCATACTTATGAGCCAAAATCACACCAGGCATTCGTCATATTAAAATTATACTTCTCCGCGGCGAGAAAATTGCTTTGGGCGAGGGCTGAGAAGTGGAGAGAGACAATGTACTCAGGGCACAATAGAAGAGGGGGGAAAAGAAGAGAGGCAAAAAACAGGGTCTTTGCCCCTAACCTAATGCTACCCCGGATTTCTTTGACAAGATAATTCCTCAATTGAGCAAAGTCCATGCATATTGACTCTTGAGCTAGGAGAATAGTTTCCAAAACAAGGCTCATCCCGTCGAAAATCGAAAATCTAATCGTCGTTCATTCTTCGGGAACGGATTATTTTGTACCAAGTAAAAGTGCGAGGAGGAAAGCTTGAGCCATGGCCCATGAGAATCAGATGAGGGACTTTTTTTTGATTTGGTTGAATCTGGAAGATTCTGTCGCCTATGATGAAGGGGTAATTCGTATAAGATTTAGGTGAATTTTTTCTTTGGTCGAAGTAGGTAATTAGATCCAATAATGGGTCATGGAAACTTTCACATGGCTAGCTAAGAATATTTCCATTGGCCGCAAAGCAAAGCAACGCAGAGCAACGCAGAGCAGAATAAGATTGATTAATCGGTCCCCAAATAAATCTTTGGTTCATGTGGATGTTGAAGAACAGAGTTCTCTGGGAATCATGAGACATTGAAATGGCGGTATTCCGGATTCGCAGTCCAGATCAATTCCATGGTGAAGAATGACGGAAATGTGTATGACAGGGCGGAAAAGGATCAATTCTCATGAAGTAATAATTATAAGAAATGGCGACATGGCATTGAAAAATTTCAAGACAGTTCAAGGTAAACCATGATGTGGTTAGGTAATGGGAAATGGTTTGAGAAGCAAAATTTCTCATTGGTTCAAGATTCTGGATTCATATTGGAATGGGGTAAGAAAAATCAATCTCTGTTCTTATTTTTTTTTCTCCTCAGTGCTCACGGTTGATGGATAAGGATCTCGTGATTCTTTGATTTGATATCATGAATTCATGGTAAGTTAGAGGTTGGTAGGTATTGATAGTCTGGTAGTCTGATGGTCTATACCAAAAGCAGATTTGATGTCAAACTTCGAATGAGTAGGTAGTAAGGAGTAAGGAGTAAGGAGTAAGGAGTAAGGAGTAAGTAGTAAGTAGTAAGTAGTGAGTAGCCAGTAGTCAGTCGTCAGTCGTCAGTCGTCGGTCGTCAGTCGTCAGTAGTCAGTAGTCAGTAGTCAGTAGTCAGTAGTCAGTAGGTAAGAAAGAGTGAGGGCATTGATTGATAGATACGAGGTGATACAACATGATACATGATACATGATATATGATTATAATACAGCATGGGTAAACTTCTCTCTACTATTGGGGAATGAGGTTCCAAATAAAGCTTTCATCGATCTGTATCTCAATCCCGATTCATCGAAATATACAATTTGGTATCAACACGTGTTGATGACACCACGTGGAGGTCATCGAGAAAAGACAGTATAATAGAAGTCTTCTCATTGGTTATTAGATGACAACGACCTTGAGAGTTCTTCGTCCCAGAGGAGACACGAAAAGGGAAGCAGCATTCATTCCAATCTCCACTTGTAGACTGTAGTGAGTGGGAATGCCTGCCATACGAGCGAGTTAATTAATCACTCGTACATATAAAGGATGACTTGGCAAATGTTTCTATGAGTTATGTTACTTATGTAGAGTACAAGCACCAAGCACAAGTACGGTAGTAGTAAGGGTTAGATGACTGAAATAATAACATAGCATTGCAAATAATGGGACGAGCAACACACATAATACCCGTGGACATACGGACTTGATACAATTTTCCCATTGGCCTCCAAACAAAAACATCCAGATTCCAGATTGTGCTTGACTGGATGGAAGTATGATACTATTACTAATTCCCAAAGTCTTAGACCACATGGTGCACCGTCTGCGTTCACATTTCACTAATTAGTCAAATTAGATGAAGTTCTTTTTCATCATCCGATGCCGCAAAACTCTATTACGAAGTAGGTCCCGCCTTATCTACATTTTGTGGGGAAATCATGGGTGGATTGAGCGACGGAAGGGATTTGATATAAAAATACTTTTTTGCCATACTGGGTAAAAATCTTTCTCGAGTGATACATGTGACTGGCAGTGACTATCTATGGATGCTCAAATAACTCAATGGGAAATTGACTCTACACGGTAAAGTTTGATGGACGTGTAGTATTAGACCAAGTAGATCTCATGAACATTGCCTGTCCTGTGCATCTAAATGAGAAGTAAGACCCCCTCCCTATGTAGTAGGTACATACACATATATGTTACACTATCAGAAGTATATATATATATCATGATGAACTCCAACTGCCGTAGCCATCAAGGTTGTGAGAAGAAGAAGATGATTGATTGATCGAAGCCTTATTAGCCTTATCTCTCTCCCTTCCCTTCTCTCTCTAGAACAAAGGGGGACGGGGGAAGATCCTTTCGAATGGCTTGTGGAGACTGGTGGGAGATAAGTGTAGTGTAGAGTATAAGGTCTAGTCGGCAAACTATCGAGACTATCGAGACTATCTACGATGGATGTATATACCATTAGATCATAAGGACATCGCACGTGGACCGAGTCATGAAAAGATTACATGTACCTACTTTTGTACACTCGTGGAACCAATCCCCTCTTCTTTTCTTCATTACACTTTTCACTACCTGGTAATAAAGGAATTTATGTGTGGTATACATACATATATACATATATACACATATACTTTACTTGTACATATATACATGTAATAATTATACATACATCTTCCTTTCCCTGTGAGGGTAGTACCTACCTATCATATCGACATTTCAATAACCTTCCTTACCCATCCATTCCTATTCCTACTCGGTATACAACATACCTATATAACATACCTAGTACACGGAGTATATAACATTTGAAACAAACCTCGGGAAGAAAGAATTTTATAGTTGTCATAAACCAGCAAGCATCCATCTAGCAATCAATCATCAAGATATCTATCTATCTGTCTTCCTTACCTTCCTTACCTACCTTACATAACCTCGGACTCTACTACTCTACTACTCTACTAAAAGCTTTCCTTTATCTTCGCTGCTCGACCTTATTTACTAAAATATTGCCCCTCGATATCAATCTACATTCCATACCTAATTAGGATCTCACAGCTTTTCATACTTTCCCCACGGCCATTCCAACTGCGACGCATCTCTTCTTTCGTTACACAGAAAAGCATCACTCTTCGTACTGCATCTTTCTTGTACCACCGCACAAATAATCCCACGACACAGACATCCACAGTTATCTTTCGCTTGGTACAAGATTTCCTCTTGTACTTTACATCGTCCTATCTCTGTCTCGATACCTAGAACGATTGACCGGGGAAAAAAGGAAGAAGAAGAAAAAATAATCACTCACACGAACAAATATATCCACTCCTCCTTGACAACAAAAGGAGAAGCTGCTGCAAGAGAGAAAGAAAGGAAAGAAGCTTCAATCACTTGACTTCCGCCCCCCCATTTTGTTCCATGAGAGAGGATTTATTGAATCAATTGAAAGCAAACAACAACTTCACCGCTTTAAAGAAAATTAAAATCGGATAAAGAAAAAGATAATTACCCGATTGGATCAATCTTAGACGCAAAAAGTTTCCAACATCACGGAAACTCATCCCATCTTTGGTAATTCGTTAGCAGTCCAGACATTTTCTCCCAAGTCCAAGTCCTTTTTGAGGTCATTCGCAAACGAGGGCTGAGGTGGTGTCACTGGGTCTAGTAGTTTATAAGTTAAGTTGAATAACTCGAGTTCGAACACTTTCGAACTATACCTAGGATATTTAACCCAAAAACAAACAAAAAAAGGACTTGGCATTTGTGATCGACGTACAGCATTGCATTTCGACCCATCTATTCAATTCGACCATTAGATTCATATTTGTCGAGCGCAGGTTCTCACCAAAGGAATTGATTCGTCGGTACCCCCTTTCAGGAACCTTCTCCGCTTCCATTTCCTCGTTTGTCTGAAGGAGCAGCAAGGGTTCCATTGGAATTTCCTTACAAGTAAACAGTAATTTCCATTTCGTCTAAAGGTGGAAAGTAACTCGGAAGAGAAAGATTTCAGCCACAAATTTCATCTGGAGGAAACACACGAAAAAATATTAGCCTTGCATCATTGCTTGTTATTCAAAGGCAATAGATCGTCTGACAATTAATCATATCATCCAATGCCCTCAGCAACGCCGAGGGCTACCCTCGCCATCAGACCTCGACCTTCGGAACCACCACAACCCATAAATCGCAAACACGCACCTTGCACTTCGTATCCCGAAAGTTCCCCTCTTGATAATTTCTCTTTTTTTAATCCTCCTCGTCCAACTCTCTCAGATCGTCCATCCAAGCGATCCATGACCACTCCATCGAAAACTATCGCTGTCGTCAATTCCTCCGGACGACAGGCTGCATCATTTATCCGCGTTGCTAGTGCAGTGGGCTATAATGTACGAGCTCAATTACGAAATCTTGATGGGATAGTAGCATCTGAAATATCTTCACTTCCAAATGTTACTGTCCTAGTAGGCGACCTATTCATCAAACGATCTTCATCATCATCGCCAACATTAGACCCCGAGACTACCAAACTAAATGATGCACTCATTCGAGACCTTTTCCATGGAGCGCAATTAGCATTTATCAATACTACATTCTGGGGTGATGAATATGCTATTGGTTGTGCTTTGGCTGATGCAGCTGCAGCTGTTGGTATAGAGCACTACATCTATTCATCTATGCCCAATCACTCTGTCGTCTCCTCTTCATGGCCATCATTACCTCTCTGGTCCGAGAAATACGCCGTCGAAACATACATCCGAACCAAGCTCCCTTCTCTACGATCAACATTCCTCTACACCGGAATTTACAACAACAACTTCACATCGTTACCCTACCCATTATTTTGCATGGCCCTCCAGCCCGACGGTTCTTTTGAGTGGCAAGCTCCTTTCCATCCAGATGTACCTTTACCATGGCTAGACGCCGAGCATGATGTTGGACCCGCAGTTTTACAAGTATTCAAAGATGGACCACCAGCTTCTTCCTCGAATCCTCGTCGCATACCTCTCGCTTATGAGTTTCTCTCTCCCAAACAAGCTTGCGCCGCCTTCTCCCGCGGTGTTGGTCGTCCAGTAAAATATAAACATAATCCTATTATTGAAGTACGAGTTAAGATTCCAAGAGGATATAAAGATCAACTGGTCGCATTGGAACAGATGTATTCGTTAGGACGCTCGGATCCAAGACGCCAACCTCCATATTTTGCCGAGCAGGAATTAGAGGACCAGGTACCGGAAGAAGCGATGAAATTATGGGAAGGTTATCGGGGATTGGAGGAATACGCTCGGGAAGTTTTCCCGCTGGAAGAAGCTGCCAATGGATTGACGTGGATGGTGGAAGATAATTACGATGACAGGACATATACGCACAATGAGGTTACGAATGGAGGAACCGATGATAATGCAAGCTATGAGGAAGAAGATGAAGACGATGATGGATTGACTATAGGTGGAGGCTTGGGTGCATCGGGCGAAGCCACACCGGCGAGAAAGGAAGAGACGTGGCTCGCATGAAAGAATCTCGACTTTGAAACTTCGAGAACGATTGGGTGATGTGTATTAGATCTACAGAGTCACTTACGATTTTCAACGATTTACGGCAGACGCACACAAAAGCGCAGGAAAAGTTCTTGCAATTGGATGGGAATATTGCACATACTCCCTTTATTTATAACTTCATGCAATATCAGATCTCAGCATTTCGAAATTTCACATTTCAACACGACATAACGCAACGCAACAAATACTTCAATACTCCAATATAACAAAATCGAAGCTCTTACATTACATGCCATATATCATAGGAGTCTCTTCTCCTCTCCTCTCTCTTCTCACCCCAGAACAAAATCACAACAAAAGAATCACGGATAGCATATTGCATTGCATGGACGGGCGGGCGGGCGATGGTGGGGCTGGCGGACGGACGGATGGGCATGGAGTCATATAATCACATTCATATTCAAATTCACATACAAATTTATATTCAATTTTAAATCAAAATTCGCAGTTCAAAATGTACACACACAGAGAACTCGTGAAATATTAGCAGATGGATGGATTGGTGGGTATTGCATTGAGGGGCTCACTCGTAGGAATTTATCGATTATTGGTGGATGGGAGGGAGATATGGAGGAGATGGGGATGTAATTTTTGGTGGAGAGCAAGGTTCTGTGTATGTGTGGATTGGTGGATGAATCATTTATGGCTTTGAAGTAGTTTGTATAGATACCTATGGATGAATGGATGAGTGGATAAATCAATGAACAGCGAGTTGAGTTGGGCTGAGTTGAGTTATTGGGTGTAGAGAATATATATATATATATATATACATCTTCACATAAGATCTTACATTTATATATATATTTATATATGTGATATGTGATATGATATGATATCGTATGACTTAATGAATAAATGAGATGTATATAATGAATAGAAATTCTCTACTGTCTATTTGAATATATTCTAGATACTTTGTTGGTTTTGATTTGAGTTTTAGTTGTAGAGATATATTTTGAAGGTGTTAATATTTATATTAATACTAACACTCTTATTTATCTCAATACTCATTTACATTAATACTCTTTCATATCAATATTGCTTTATATTAATATTTCTTCATATCAATATTTATTTATACTTCTATTTCTTTACATTTATAATCACTCGCACTCATAATTACTCACATCCCTACTCCTTTACACTCCTTTATACTTATACTCCTTCATATCAATACTAACTCATACTTATACTTATACTCATACTCACCTCAATAATCCCATATATACGAAACCCAATTGTCTAGATGACTACTATCTATATATTACTTTTATATATACCTACTCGTAATAAGAAAATATATAATATCTATTTGATTAGTATTACTTATCTATCTCTATCTTTAAGAACTACTATACACATATGTAAATAAATAAACTAAAAATCCCAAATCTCAATCCGAAATCCCAATAATACTTTATATTTATGTTTACTACTAATAAGTATCAAATAAGTACTACATTCAGACCGAGAATTGGAAGAATGAGATGAGATAAAATGAAATGAAATAAGCTTTTAATCTCTTGACTTTGTAAAGTTCCATTATCATGAATATCACGAATATCTATTCACACAGATATACAGATATCATAAATACCTGTCCACATAGAATCTTGAATTTAAACCCCAGAAATCAGATTCTAGAAATCAGAATCCATCTAAAATCCTAATCAATACAATACAATACAATACAATACAATACAATACAATACAATACAATACAATACAATACAATACAATACAATACAATACAATACAATACAATACAATACAATACAATACAATACAATACAACTCGAATCCCACAAAACGAGAAGCGAATTCGAGTTCCATGAGACGATAGTCGAGAGTCGATACTCGAGTTCCATCCATCGTCCTCAAGAGTAAAGTCTGTTGATCCAAGAATATTCTACGTCTAGTTTGGTGAGATATGAAGGTCATTAAAATCAATATCAATACTAATATCAACATCAACATCAACGATCATACCAGGGTTCAGTATCAACATGTATACAAATTCATATCCATGCACAACAAGCAGCAAGCTGCGGAAAGGTAGAGAAAATAATATGAAGTAGAATTTTGTATATATGACAAATACAATACGATAGCCACTGTATCGTATCGTATTGAGTGAGTGAGTGAGGTATCCCCCATTAATACATTCAAACATTACTAGTACCAAACATCCCATCCCATACAAAGCCGCAACGCCTCTCATCAATACTCCGCAGAGCTATTTCCACTAAGATCCAAATCCATGACTAAACTCTACAAACTTCAAGTATTCCAACATCATACTCATTCTCTCTTCATAAAAGCAAACTTGCTTTCCATTCTGCTAGTCCCTTCATTGTCCCAATATATTCAATATAAGCATCAGGCCTAACACAAACGTAACCCGGTTCATTTACAAACCCATACCTCTCATGTAGAATGCCTGCTTCATCATAAATCCCATCTCCTCCTTTTTTGTCTCCACCCACAATCCTATGGATCCTCAACCAACTTTGTTCCTTTTCCGGAAAGTCTGTTCCAACCGTCTCTAATAAATCCTGAGCATCCATTGACTCTCTCCCCAATCCTGAAAATAGTAACAAGTGATGCGTTGGCCCCTTGAATAACGAGTATAGATTCGTCTGCTCTTGAGTATCAGGTAACACTATTTTTCCGTCAGGCGCGCGATCACCTCCTCTTCTGGGGCCATAATATGCACTTGCAGTTCTACAAACAGACGAATGTCGATATCGTATTCCCAGTTGTGTGATAAATCGATATCTCCTAGCGCGATTTGTACCCTTTTTAAAAGCAATCGGAGCCATCCATGGGAAGAGAGTGTTGCGTAGATAGAGATAAATGGGATTGGTTGTGGCCATGAATTCGAAGACCTGGTCTGTACCTTTCAAGAGATTGACGCCCACGCGATGTCGTTCAATACTATAGGAGTCGAGAAAGCTTTCTTTCCTTTGGTTCCGAAGAACAGCGCCGAGTTTCCAGCCGAGATTGATGGCATCCTGAATACCTGTGTTCATCCCCTGACCACCAGCCGGCGAGTGGATATGCGCTGCATCTCCAGCGATGAATATACGACCATTGCGAAAGGAATCGGCAAGCCTATGATGAAGTTTAAATCTTGTAATCCATATAGGAGGATTCTCGAGTTCAATATCCCCCTTAGCAAGTCTTTTGAAGGCTTCTTCAAACTCTTTAAGAGTAGGTACGTCATCTTTGGCCTCTCCGTAAGTCGACTCATCTTTCTTTGAATTGGGAACATTTAATACAAGTCGGTGAACTCCATCTTTGAGTGGTAAACACATCATAAATTCATTTCCCATGAACAACGTCAATCGATCCGAGGCATACTCCCAATTCAGCTTCACGTCTGCCAGTATGAAATCCGATTGGTATGCAGAGCCTTCGAATTTCAAATCGGCCGATTTCCGAACCATGGAATGTGATCCGTCACATCCAACAATGTATTGACAGCGAATCTCTTCCTCGTCAGATTCTTCGTAGCCATCTTGCCTTACTTGTTTAACCCGAACTGAAACACCAGTATTATCCTGAACAATGGACATGGCTTTTGTTCCCCTCTCCACTTTGCCTCCATATTCTTCTAATTGCTTTTCAAGACATGATTCTGTCTCGCCCTGACTGAGAAAATAAGGTCCTGAATACTCTGTGTCAAGCACACCCATATTTTCCCGGGTGAGATCCATTTCGAATGCATTCTTCTTGTTGACATAAAAACTTAAGCCGATATTTTGTTTGCAGAGAGGAAGGAGATTCGATACGAGAGAGGGATGTCGAGAGAAAAGTTCCACGGAACGTGTGTGAAGGACGAGAGCGCGAGAATTAGGGGACTGGGTGAAGAGAGGATCGATTAAGATAAATGGAATTTTCTGAAGAGAAAGTTCAAGGGCCAAAGTGAGGCCGGTAGGACCTGCGCCGACAATGAGAACTGCAGTTGATCGCATATTGAGATGAGGTCGATAATTGATGCGAACCTGAGTGTGAAGGGATAGGTATCTTGAGATCGTATACCAGATGCGGGGTTATTCCACCTTGCTTGTTTGATACTAGCTAGTTAATAGAAGAACAGAGAAGAATGAAAATCAAGAGCCAAAGAGCATGTCGTGGAATATATATTTATATCTGCCACTTCGGGACCTCTGTACCTACCTTTAAAATGCTCAATAGACACAAGGTCACACAATCGGGGTCTGTTGTCACCGTGTAGATGGTGCAACACGTCCTACATCTCGACATGACATTATGTGTATCCCGTATTTTCGAGACTAGAGATAAAACAAGCATCTCGCATGCTAAGATTGACCAGTAGTATAGTCTCGATAGCTTTCTTTCTACCGCCGTCTCACTTCAGATGGCAATCGAGGAATAGACATGTCGGGAGTTTTCGTTTCGATGATGCCGATGATTTTTGCTGCATGAGCTTAACAAGCTAACATCGGTATTGGAAGGATGTTTAGCCCGATATTACGTGACCCCACAAGACCCTCGAGCCCCTCGAGCCTTCTCACCCGCCTCGCCCGCTTACTTAACTCGACATAACCCTAAACATTTTCTTGCGATCTCATGTTTGAGATGACTAGCTACACTACTGCTGCATCATGATTAAGCTGTTCAAACGTTTCGATGGAATACTGCATAACGAGCATTCAGCCGGTATATTCATCTCAACTTACAGATCAGCCACATTGTGACTCGAGTGTGTCAGTTGATGCGAAGATTATCTGTGAGTTTACTTCTCCAATAAAGAAGGCTCGAGGTCGGAAGTTCTGCACACCACTTCAAATGTGCGGAGCTACTCTGTTCGGTGATAACAGGCCTATGTATGGAAGAAGATTAAGTTTGAGGCGAAGTCAGCCTCTTCTACGGATAGAAGCCTATTTTAATCCTTATCATTTGGTTGGTTGTTGATGCTGGAAGAGATCTTTCTGACTCACCAGATCTATCGGTGTATGATTGGCTTGCAATGTATCCGGTATTCAGAGGTGTATGATTGGTTTACAATATATGTCGGTGTTCAGAGGTGTACACATATTGGCTACTTCAGCCGCTCAATATAACACGGGACAAGATGTTCTGTGAAGCTGAGAATTGCCCAAATTATATATAGAGCTATCAAAGTTCTTCGCAATGCTAGCGCAATGTGTGTTTACCTTGAACGTCTAATTCAATCTCATGATGAGCTCCATTCTTCCCGATCGTCCTTTAACGAATATCACCATAAAAGTTCCCAATAGCACAACTTAACATGACAATGACCACATATTGTGCCTTCCTATTACCAGGGACTATTGGCCTTCAGCTGCTGCTGTTATCATTTTCTTTGCCACAAATTATTTAGCCCATGCAGCAACTGTCAAATCAAGCCCTGGAGATGACACCCTTCTTCAGGGCTGCAATGCTCTTTTGGCATTGTTTTTCCGATGTCTGGTCTCCTGCGAGCGCTCAACGCTATCGTTCGACTACCAATATTAGCTCGAAACGAGCTCGAAAAAGCATGCAGAGCCGGGGCGTTATGTATGGCTGTTCGAGCACCTCACTGGAGACCTAAGCCAAGTCAAAAAATTTCTGTGGGAGTAGTGCTTGAGGATGATAAAGACGTGGAGAATACAGATCCCGAGGGGCAATTTGGGCACGACTCATCTCAACCCATAAAAGCAAACATGATAACATATCTTTCTTCATATGCCCGCGAACAATCATCCACGTGGATACACTTCGATTCGGTCTGGGCGAGATCGCGCGTAGACTTACGATTGTCACGAGTGCATGGTGCATACGATCTTCCAGAAGGCTATGAGTTTGCCATAGTACCCCGCAACACCTTTCTGATTTCTCAAGTGGCTTCGGACACTCACGAAGATCCGGGGCTTAGTAGCGAGATCAGTGCTAGCCATTGTGTTCTGAAAGCAGTGGCCTCACTTATCCAGGTTGTCGCTGCATTCACCACCCTTCTCTCAAATCGCCCAGATTTGGTTAGCCGCTGGGGATATGCATCATATCACCTAACAGTTATACCATATCTTGCTATGACTCATGTTAACCTAATCTCCAATATGGTCTCTCCAGACTATTCTTGCTTGTATATGATACGCAGCGAGACTATGGTTGAAGCAGAGAAATTAGGTAGAAGATTTGAAGGAGAAATAGCCCAAATGATTTCCCTCCTACCAAAAGATGGGATGCAAATTGAGAATCAAGCATGGAGTGGTCTTACAAAAAAGGTATTCAAAATTTATCCCTTGCCCTTACTTCAACGGCTAGTGAGATGTATGTTTTGTATATGGCCATTTATCTACTTGATCTAATCACTGCAAGTGAATCACTGCAAGTGAGGCAAAACCGAAGCTATCCGCTAAAGATGCCAAAATGATACATCTGGAAGTAGTCTCTCAACTCATTGCTTCTACTGCTCCTTCTACGAATAACCCGAAACGAGCGCAACTCAGGCCAACCATCCTGCAGATTCAACTGGTGCATCATTGTCTAATAGTGGCAATGAAAACCCAGCGTTACAGAATGTTTTCTTCGACGATGAATTTCGCACGCAGTTGAATCCGAAGGATATCCTAGCAAGGCCAGTGGACACGACGGATGAATACCAGATCCAAATTCCTCGTGTACCCAGGCGGTCATCAAGAAAAGGCCTATTATATACCGTTCATCTGGTTATGGAAGATTTGTCATCTGCTCGGGGTGAGAAGACAAGTTCATTTTTCACCATGTTGCAGAACATGAGGGAAAATAGGATGAGGCTTAAAGCCTACAAATCCGCTGACTCTTATATTAAACGGATTATGATTATATATAATCTTGCATTGAAAGATTGTATTATTCCAATAAGTTCGGGGGACTATGCAGAGTTTACTCCAGTTCGATCGGCTACAATCTACCATCCAAATTGTCATCGATTTCTCCGCTGGGATGACTTTGCTAATCCGCCAAAAGCAATAAAGAAAATTCCAATGAGACCCAATTCAGAGTACTTTCACCGATCACTGATGGTGAAGAGAATTGCCTGGCCGCATCTATTTCCAATGTGCGTATGCTACTTAAACTGCCGGAAAGACCCACTACGACTACTGCATCGATCGCCGAGCCCGAAGAGCTTCTTTACTTATCAAATATAACAAGAACAAATGGACGAATAGGATGGGCTATACTAGTAGAGATTAGTATCGGAGTTTGTGTTGTAGGTCTCTTCTTTGGGTTAATTGCGGGATTGACGAAATTCCATTCTGGCGAGAGTTCCGTAACTGAAAGAGGTATCATGATGACTTGGCTTGCTAGTGGTCTATATGCATTCTGTCTTCCCCTACTCAATACCCTTGAGCTACTCAAGGTCCTCTTTTTGTTTCCAATCTTTTTTTCTTTGTATCTATCGGGTGCTCCCGACTTCTATCATACTAGTTATGAAATGGACAAAACGCTTCGAAACGAGGAACAAAGCGTGAATTGGCGGTTGGAAAAAGAGGACTAAAAGGGTTTTCCGAGTGCTTAATAAAGTTGTGTCTAAAACCCTCGCGTCGGTATCACTTAAATTTAATCCTCGGCCGGCAGCGGCTCTCTTACATGTGTTTGCTTTTATTCCTCTTGGGATATTTATCCCGCCTGTTTGGGGATTTGTGCTGGTGGGGAGAATGACTACGGAGTGGGGAAATTGTGTGAGATTGTATTGATACAAGATCATGATTCTACAAGGTTGCTTTAATACGGACATTAGTTGAGGATGAAAGGCATTTTGAATCGAAACTGCACTGATTCGGACCCAAAAATCTGGCGTTTATGGTATATTGTTGTGAGTATCTTCTCAATAAGATAGCTTCTTAAACGAAGAGAATTTACATAGAATTTCTTCTATAGAACTTGCTTGTCCAGATTGATTTGTTTGTGATATAATATCCTGCATAGCCAGATACGATGAAGCATCCATACATTCCGCTTGAATCATGGAATGCCAAGCAGTTCTAAAATCGTAATTGGCCTATAAAAAAGCCTTTTTCATGACGTTTACTCGATCGATAGAAGACGAATAGGATAATATTACCCAGCATCGATAACTAACTAATTCTTGATCGCGGCTAAAACAGGAATTACCAACTTCCATATTCACAATCGAAGAAACAAATATGTACATCACTCCAAGCATCAGAAATTACCATCTCAGGATATATTCCCCCTTTCTCTCCGAGACTCAAAACAACCACTGAGAAAGAGAGTAAAATTTACCTACAAAGGAAGATACAGATCTGGTGCAATCATTCGATATGACCCCTGAGAACCAGATCTGATAGAATGCCATTTCAAAAGATGTCCGGAATTGTGATTCTGTGTTTTTCGAACGATGGATTTTTTCTTGATCATACTTTAGATGGAGGAGGATATCGAACGCAACAGTGATCATAACGATATCATTAGATGATGGAAGATTTTCTCGGAATAGAAATTTCACTAACTTCAAGTCAACTTACTTCTACAATTCCTTTTCTTTTATTTGGATACCATGTTGATATAATTAACCATTTAGAATAAATATTCTAACAGCATAGCATACCAACTAACACCTTTTTGCCTGTCAACGTATCAGATTGTGTCCTACGGAATATTCAAAAAAGGTAGCCAAAGTAAATGAGCATTCAACAAATATGATAACTAAACTCTACAAGCACCAAAATATCTTCAAATCCCCCCTTTCCACAAACAATTACGAACACCAATAAATAAGTACTAGGTAGACAGCACCAAAAATCTCCAACAACCATAAACATAAAATCCTCACACCTTCACGATCCCGCCGGAACCGAACCGAGCCGCTCAGCCGGCCTGCTCTCTCCCCTTTTCCCCACCCACAGTAAAATTCGAGTCCATCCACATCCACATCCACATCCATCCCTACTCAATTTATTTACACAAAAAAGCCAAAGAGACAGACGGACAAAGAAACAAATTAAAATTTAGAATCGAATTCGAGAAAAATGCAAAAAGGAAAATGCAACTGCCGTGAATCGAACACGAACCTCCACCTTGGAAGGGTGGAATCCTAACCATTGGACCACAGAAGCTTGGTGAGGTTGTTATATGAGAACTTGAGATTGTATTGATTTATATGGGATCAGGAGATAGAAGCGGTTCTGTGGTGTGAATGCATGGAATTGGAATGGTGGAGACAGACGGAGACAAAGACAAAGACAGAAATATGAGACCTCGGGTTCTTTCCCTTGAGAATATTAATTAATTCAATTGCAGTGTGGATAGTCAGAATGGATTGGATAGATAGTATTAGGATAGTTTTATTTATTTATTTCCTCCTCTCCGAAGAATTATGATTCTTCCTTAAAATATATATAAATAACACTACAACAGTACATCCCCTCCCCCTTTTTCAACCATCAATCCCACACGTCACACGTCAACATAGTGGGGTACACACCATCACGTGCTTCGCATCACACTACACTCACTTCACCCTTGCTATACCTCGTACCTCGTAGCCTTAACGAGCAAAACATGACGTGCATTTGATTTGACATACTCATAGACACATCTAAAGATTCCAGATCCATAGAATCAAAATCAACTCTTTACACACTCATTATTACATATCCAGATCACACATTGAAATCAAAACAAAAACAAAAATAAAAATAAATATTGAGACCAAAGCAAAGCAGAGCAGAGCAAAGTACTGGTGTTGAGAATGAATTTCTCTGGATATATGATCTTATACTAAAGTAGGTATGTTTATACTCGGATTCTTTCTACTCGAGCAAGTTCTTACGGAATGGGATGTTCATCCTCGCTGTAGATTGCATTGCAAAGGAGGAAAGAGGAAAGAGGAAAAAGAGGAGAAGGAGTTGAGAGAAATATATACTTAGGAAGATCCTATATAATTTTCCCTGTTGAAAATTTCCTCTTACTCCCTCCATCTATTGTATCTGTATCTGTATCTGTATCTGTATAGCTTAGATGAAATAGTTGTACGATTACGATATAAGAGATGAGATTCTCCGAAGAGATATGTATTCTCCAACTTCCGATCCAAAACCGCGTAAGTAATAACTCTCACTCTCACTCTCACAATGAAAGGGATATATATAAAGACATATAAATTCAAGTCTCATATTATATTATAGCACACTTGCAAAGAAGATAACAAAGTGCGCAGAATCAACAGTATATAACATGCATGACATGATATAATGTGATAAGAAACCAATATATCACATCACATCAGAAGCAGTAAGCACATTTACGCACGAGTAAACAGATAAAACACATGCCACTTATATGCATCAGCAGATATTTCATATTAGAAGTCGAAGCGTCAGGATCTTGTTAGAACGAGAGAAAGTTCCATGTACAACATACATAATCTTGATGTACTGTCCCAAGTAAACGATAGGTAGCAAAGTGATCTCACACTTCCAATAAGAATCCGGGGTAAGAATTTTGTAAGGCGAAGAAGCATGCATATGCATACCTACCTACCTACCTACCTACCTACCTACCTACCTACCTACCTAGGTAAGAGTAAAATAAGCATAATTCATAAATCCAATCCCAATGTCAGAGTTCCATGCAAAAGTAAGCAATATGATCTACGTCACAGCCACTGATATCCATATAAACTTCTTATCCAAGTCCTTTGATGTTCTTTCATAGAAATATATTTTGCTCCCGGTGAGATCTGCTGCGTAGTAGGTAGCACATTGCATGTAGCAACCGCAATCCTAAACTAGCAGAAGTAGAAAAAAAGGCAAGGCCAAGAAGAGTCACTGAACAAGAAACTCTTCGAAACTATGATACAGGCTCCCTTAAAATCAAAAGGTATGAAGGAGAATCAGAACCAAAATGACATTCAAGTTAAAACTCGCCACCTAAGCCAAACAAATCATTCATTCATTTCGCTTTTACCAATTCATGCAACCCAAATACTTGTACAGTTCCTGTAAGGAAAAAGAAAACTCGTGGCCTAGGGAGCTCAATAAAATGTTGAAATAGTGATTGCTTATTTCTTCTCCGAGTGTTCGGTGCCATTGCGATTATTGTGATGATTGGCCGCCTTCTCCTTTCGAGCTTCGTCGATAGCAGTTCGTTGTTGTATACTAGAATCATGAGACTTCCATTCTACCTTAGTTTCAGGTGGGAATGAAAGAACGCGCTTTAATGTCTCCCTGTTCAATGGTTAGTCTATTTGTTGAGCATTTTGTAAAGAGTTAAATACCTAATTTTGAGTACCCTCCCGCCACCTGAACGGGTCCAGATACTCAAAATATCTTCTCCATTGCGCACGCTAAGTACAACCCCGCAAACTTCTTCGCTGGGGTCGAACTCATCTCCAGCCATTGCGAAGACTAAATCTTCCCAATAACGATCAGCCACACCCTTCTTGAGTCTCACAATCCATTTGCCTCCTTTTTTGTTTTCATCATCCTCCCAGACTGGACGAATTCCCTTCTTAAACATGTGGTAATCGGAGACTAGTGGCAGATTCGAGGGGTGCCTCATATGATCGAAAACGTCAAACAATTCCTCCGCCGAATTGAATGCTGCCATTGGATGTAGTGTTTTTTCGTATTCAACAAATCCGTTTGACTTGGAGATTGGGGGTCTGTACCAAAATACCCAGCCATGACGAAATTGGTGTGAAGCTGGCGCTGTAGCCGTCTTAGAATCTGTAAGGGAAGTTTTAGATGTCTTTGTTCCCAAATCTCTATAGTTTTTCTCCGCAGTCGGTGTTTTGGTAGATCCTCCCACTACACTTCCAAAATCCAGCGCACCTCCACCTCCAGGAGTTTTCGGGCCCTTCGAGTTTCCAAACGATGCAAAAGCGCCTGATCCTAATCCAAAAGCGCTCGATGCGCCCGTTGTTGGAGAGGATAAAGATGAGGCCGAAGGGGACATGGAATTGAAAGGATTTTTTGTGCTGTGCGAAGAAGTGTCTCCATGTCTTCTTCCCAAGACAAATCCCCTTGCTGCGTGGTCGCCACCACCAAGAGTTGATCCATTCGTAGTTGGATTGCCTGTGGATAGCGAAAGTTTGCTGGAACTGCACCACACCTTGATTAGAAGCGCTCAAAGAAAGGAGACAATGCGGGAACGAAGAAGGGAATACTTACTTCGAACGGCGACTCCACAGGTTATCCATTACGAAAGGATGAATTTAAAATCTGATAACTATGCGCTTTATGTCAAACTTCCAAGATGGCAATATTACGAGCTTCTGTTTGTGACGTTGAATAACTTTCGAGATGTGCCTGTGGATAGAGATGTACAAGCAAGTGAGGTATCGGGTGATTTTTGTTGAACAAAGTAACAAGTTAAGGATATCGCAGAAGGGCTGGATTTGGGTGTGAAGGGTTGTTGCAGTTCGCAGATGGTATTCAGTTATGTGGGTGAGAGTGATTCTTAATTTTTGGGGGAATATCGTGTTTGTATTGTATTGTACTGTATTGTATTGTATGTGATGTGATGTGACTGGACTGACGGGTTATTGAAGGGTTTCCGATTTATAGATTGAGGGTTTCGATAAGTTTGCAGTTTTGGGTGGGTAATGATTAAAATGATGAAAATGTAGGAACAGCCAGAAAGTACTATGTACTAGTATGTATGTACGCATCGCGGCAACTGAATCAATCTTAGAGTCCTTAGAGCAGCGCGGGGCCTAAGGTGAATTTAGCGAACAACGCTAGTGTAAGAAATATTTTGTTTGATTTTTTTTTCCTCCCTGGACTCTTTTTCTTCCTTCTTTAACAAACAAGACCATTAACTCAAATCATCGACAGTTTGATTTTTTCACTACTCAACTGCCGATTCCGATAACTTGGTCAAGAAGAAATATATTTACCACTTCAAAACCATCGTCACGAGGGCCCCTCGTGCGGCTTCCATGACACGATGATGACCTAAAGATGGAAACATACTGCACCCTTCCACACAATGGATTGTTAGAAAAGACAGGATGCAATGGGCGACGACGTGGAAGATGAGGATGAACAGTGATGACGATGATTATAATAATAGGGTAAGCACACTTGAGATACTATGTGCATTGATTGGAATGAATGATATGAGGACAACACAACTCTGGTAATACAATTCAACCGCCATGTTCTACGGAATACATGTTTGCTGTGTTGAAGTTGAGATGATATTGGCAAAGACTGATCTTTTGGTGGAAGCTTTTAATTGTCGGGATTGATCATGAATCTTTTCATTGCTGACCTAATGTCAAGTCGATAGTCAAACATAAATTATATCTCTACCTATCTATGCTTTGTTCTTTGCTTCCCTTCACCACATGAATGTGTTTATAAGTATCTACTAGTTCTGTAGAAGGGCGCGCGACGATGAGTGTCAATAGTTCGATAAATTTCACAAATTGAAGAACATGCCCTTTCTCACAACCTTCAATCTGGTCTATTTCTATTATTGTTCTATCAACACCTGTAGACTCTATCTTTTCACCTGGTCATTACGTTTCTCAAAATCATAACCCAGCTCTTCCAGGGACTTTGCTTTCTCGCCATCTTCAATAAAACGCTTTCGTATTTCTGCGTATATTTTTCTTATCCACAACTTCTCCTCGTCCCAATATGCTGGCTCCTTACTGAATCCCCCTTTGGCACCTTTCACCCAATCGTGTAAGCTATTTAGATAATTTGCGTCGTGAGGGTAACCAAAGACGTGGAAAGACGTGCCATTACCATGTTCTTTCACTCTTTCCTGCTCCCATAGATTCATTTCTTCCTTACTAGGCAAGTCCAACTTGTTCGACCAAACTTTCGAGACTGCTGCACTTTGGACTTCAGATATTGGGAACGGGATAATTTTTTGTGCCAAGGCTGTAAATGCAAGAGTTGGATGCTGGATATCAAATAGATGTTGATATGAGCCCACCACTCGTCGACCAGTGGTGACGACTGGTGGCTTTAACGAACTGAGGAATGGATAAGAGTAGAAGTACCCTGTGCAGTATACTACGGCATCGACGTCTTTTTCTATCCGCCCATCATCAAACCTCACACCTCTAATGTCGGCAAGGTATTCTGAGATGGGAGGAACCTCTTCCTTCCCGTCTCCTCCCTCGCCAAAGGAAGTCCTTACTGAATTCAATAGAGGCTTCTTACAAACCTTACTGATCTGTGTTCCAATATCCAATCCCGAGGCTCCACTTCCAACCACGATTACTTTCTTACCTACAAAAGAATCGGGTGAACGAAAGATTTTGGAGTGTGATATGGTGGATGGATGAGCCGAGTTGAATTCCTTAATCCCCGGTACATCAGGTATAAGAGGGACAGAATAATGTCCGTTTGCGATAACAACAGCATCATAAGTCTCTTTGATCTCGTCATTGGTAATTGTAGATCTAGAAGTGATTCGCCATCGATCACGACCATTGTCTGGCTCTAAACTTATATCTTGGACTTGCTCCGAGAAGCGAATCAGATGTCTAACTTCTCCAGAGTAATGTACAAGGTATTCTTGAACATCTTCGCGTGTGGGGAACAACAGAGAGTCGGAGCGAAATGGTCGATCAGAAAAGCACATCAACGACTTTGGAATATTTGTGTGTAAACGATCATACATGGGATTTGAGAAAACCGGAGGATTTCCGTCTTTTGGCCAGATTGGCTTTTCCAGAGATACATTTGGCGACGTTGATGGGATGCGCACACTCTGACTTATATTTGGAGTATAATTCCATACTCCTCCAACTTCAGCTTGCTGCTCAATGATATCGATCTTGTCGAAGTATTGCTCCGCCAGAAGAAATCTTGCTGCGGCTAATCCAGAGGGACCTGCACCTATAATTGCAATTCGCTTGACATTGAACGATGCTCGAATTCTAGAGTTCATGTTGGAGGTTTCGAGATGACTTTAAATATTTCTTCAGTTTCACTTATTGGACTTGCGGTAATATATGTGTTGATTTGGGTTTTGGAACTGGAGATATACGTTGATGAAAGGATGAGAGAAGCTTAAGAATATATAATGCTTGTCGTATTGTAGGATTAGAAATGCTTCCTCTGAGTATATAGAAGAATATTGAGAGTGTGTGAATTCAGATACGTCCCTATATATAAAAGCCGACTATTCTTGCTTTTTATTCTTTGCGTTACCCCAGCTGACAGCAAGATACGCTTTAGTAGAGCAGGGGTCATTACATCGGCAAAAACTTTAAAAAGATTCCGATGACGCCCACCCCATCGCAAGCTAACAAAGCTTCCATCACAGCAGGAATCCACAAACGCGTTCTACAAACTCGAAGCAAAACAATTATTCACGCAAAGGGATACGATACGGTTCGTTGATACGTCACTTCAGAAAGGAAATGCTTATTTCCCGATGATCGGCATCTAAAGCAGTAATTCTCCATTTTACAATGGCAGAAACAATAGCAGCTGCAAATGGAATTCCAAACTCCACAACAATGTCAAAGTTAGAGTCAACCACGCATATCCCAATCGCGCAGCTTACGCCGTTACTTCCAGCATCAGCTTCGAGATCAGTTAAGGCGGTAGTGACTCTCACATGGCCATATAGTTCTCGTACGGGTTCTGTGGCTTTCTTACTTGCCGAACCCGATTTCCGCTTGCGCAGAATCAGAGGTCAAGTGCGCGTACAGTTTTCAGGATCGTCTGCGAATGCGATTGCGAAGTCTGGTATCACTAGCGGAGATGAAGTGATCTTATGCTTAGATGGAGCGGAATATGTGGGAACTGAAGCTCCAAGTGCGACACCTGGAAGGGGTGTGGAGTTTGAATTGAAGTTCACAGACAAACTGTTACTCCAGGTAAGAATAAAATTTAACTTCCATATATAATGTTCTAACTATTCTTCTTGCAGTTTCGCCCTGAAGACTCTCAAGATGTCAAGCTTATCAGCGTTGAAAATCCCGATTCCGAATCTGTTCAGACAAATGCCTTCCCGCCCCCGCCTGCCCCAGCGACAGATCTAGAGACCGAAAACCAAATCCCAGAGATCCCAGCAACTCCTGTTTCATTCTTCAAGCAAACGGCTTCACAGAATATAGAGGAGTACTCTTCTCCGGCTTTCTTGAAACGTGAGCGAATATCATACGGTTCAATGTTCGAAGAAGGCTACGACCCATTTGAGGTTGAAGATGGATCAGTCCGTGGTAAAGGGAGGAAAAGAACTAGGCTCAGTACATCATGGCGATTTACGAGTGGGTCGCCAAGTCCCAGTCCAGAGGTCGAAGAGCCGGTAGCAGCATCTTCGGAAAGTGGTATCGAGGAACCAGTAAACCAACGTGCGCCATCAATGACGGATGAGGGTGTTCAAACTATAGAGGTTGAAACTGAGGTAATCACCGAAGCGACGCAAACATTAGACCAAGATCTGCCTAAGATCGCCGAGGAAGCGGAGACGAATGAAAGTGTAGAGGTTGTGCATGCGGAAGCTCCATCGCAGGAGACACCACGGGTCGAAGATGGGAACACAAATCCAATGCCGCCTCCAAATAAAGCGTCTGGTTCTATCATTCCAGATAGTAGGCCACGAGAAATCCCGTCCGACAATTCAGATGAAAAGCTGCCTTCTTCCCCGCAACTACGGCCTTTGTCATCAGAAGGTCTTCCTTTGGTATCTCCACTAGTAGCAACCCGAGTTGAGAAATTCAATAACTACATACACAATGAACATACTCAAGATCTTGAAATAACAAATGCTCCGGTTGCGCTATTAGCAGAGTCTGATACACTGATTTCAGGCCATAGGCAAGAAAAGGATGTGTACGATGCCAGTCCTCTACGTCACTCGAATGATCAGTCAGAGTCGGGCCAGACTACCTACAATACGTCATCAATTCTTTCTGGAGATCAGTATGACCCCCTAAATACCAGGAACATCTTTCCTCCTCACCAGCAACGTCCAAATGAGGTGGAGGATAGTGCTGATCAACTATTTGCACCGTACAATGCTCCTGGGCCAGATTCCTTTACGTCAGTCGGCGCTTACGAAGAGATACCAGAAGAACAAGGCCGATTCATTCCCCCCGAAATGGAGGAGGGTCTAGATCAATACAACTATCCCGATCCAGAGCAGACCTACGCAGAACCAAACAATTGGGCAACCCAGCCTATCATGGACTATCCTGACTTGGGAGACAGTCATCAACAAACTGCCAGTTTATACCCCCAACTCCCTTCCACAACATCTATGGTTCGGTCTCAAAGTGACCAATCTCATCAATCCAATCACACCCGTCAATCGCACCAGTCTCCCCCATCTCAAATTGTAGACTTGACCGAGAGTAGTGATGAGGATGAAGATGAGGATGCTGAGGGATTCCTTGAAGTCGAAGATGATAGTGAGCAACAGCTGCCCAATTCGGCTCTCGCAATGGAGTATGGCGAACAAGGTTCCTACTATGAAGCAAGGGAAGAAGATGAAGACGAGGAAATTATTTACGATGATCAGGAATCAGATCACTATGAACAAGGCTACTTTGATGAAAATGATGAGAATATGGATTCAACGGGTAGGGGTAACTATCCCGAAGATTACGAAAACGGCAGTGAGGAGGATTACGATGACGAAGATAGCTACAGTGAAGATGACGAGGGTGAGACGAGCAATCAAGCGCCAATTCAGCAACAGCCTGAGGTAATAGATCTTTTGTCCTCGGATGATGAAGATGAGGAGCCAGCGGAAGCCCCAGTTGCTCAAATCAGAAACGATCATAAGGCTGACGAGAAAATTGAATCGGGGGAAGAATCAGAGGAATATGAGGATGACGGAGAGGAAGAAGAGGATGACGAAGAGGAAGGGGGAGATGAAAGTCTGGATATTGTTGGCGAACAAGTTCCAAACATTAGCATCCGTTCTACAAAGTCCCAAGAAATTGTAAGGGAGTCCTCGGAAGAGTCAGTTGAGGACGAGCCCATGGCAAGTGAAAACGCGCTAGTCGAAGATCGCATCGACACCATCAAACCCGACGCAGAAATGCCTGAAAATGTATTGAATACACCGGGCTCTGGTCTTGACACGCAAATGGATGCAGATGAAAGCGTGCTTGGGCCAGAGGGCGCAAAACAATCCCCACCACAAGAAAACCTAGAGGATGAGACTGCTATCGAAGTAGATTCTACTGAGCCCATGGATATCGAAACCAGTGTAACCAATCCATCTGCTGCCATTGACAAGATGGATGTCGATAATACTACAGACAATCTCGACGGGTTATTCGAAAAGCTAGAGAAAGCGGGTGCAGAGAAACAGCTGGAACAAGGTTCTGCAAATGCTGACAGTGATGTACCCCAGAGTGATCAAGAAATTTTCAAGAACGATGTCGAGGTTGTTGAAAATGAGGATCTTGATCAAAATCCGAATGGGGCAAATGATGAGGAGACTCCTTCCCAAGGACACGAACCAATCGAAATGACGGACGATGTACGACCAGCGACCGAAATTGTACCTGGCCCTATACTGGCCGATGGCAATGCGATTACTCATAGTGTTGCACTCGAACATTTTCTACCATCGCCAATCGCTGTAGAGAACGCTAATGTTTCAACAGTACCCAGTTCCACAGATCAAAGTATCAAGGATCGAGCTGCCAAGTCTGGTTGGGCAAGGTCTCCTAAAGGAGCTACCCTGTTCTCGAGAACTTTTGGTATAGATGGCGCAAACGATACGAGCGATGCAAATGATACTAGTGATGCGAATGATACGGGTGACGAGGGCGACAAAGAGAATAAAGATCTCCTCTCCTCTCCTGCGGTGTCAGAAACTGAATTGGAAGACGAACCAAAGTTAATTGATGAACCAGACCAGATACCACAATCCCAAAGCACTATTAATGCCATTGATACTACCGCAGATCATCAGAATGATCAGCTTCCAACACCTGACGATACTCAAAATCAGAACATTGATGAGAAAATTGATGAGAACATCGATAGGGATGATGATGAGGATGGATTAACTTCGATGTCAGATCTACTTCAACTTCAGTTACGAGAAGAGATGGGAGAGATGGATGAAGACATGGATATGGTGGAAACTGATGCAGGCATCGAAAAGGATTCATCATCGGACTTACTTGAGAATGAAGACACAAATTCTTCTCAAGAGGAGCCTGACGCGATGCCGGATGTAGCTCCAGACACGGGTGCGATAGATGAAGACGATGGAACGATTGATTCCGAGTCAGAAGACATAGAGGTTCAATTTACTAAGACAGAAGTAATTGAGCTCAAAGACACTGAAACTACCGAAATCGAAATCAGGCAGGTCAGCGAAGAGATTATCGAGGATGATATGGCTGGAAGTGCGGAGGAAGATAATGCTGAAGTGAATGAAGGAGGAAATATTGAGGAGATCGATTCAACTGTTGATGAAGATGAAGATGAAGATGCCGGAGAGAGATATTTGGAGATGCGTCAAGGTGGAGTGTTTGAAGAGGAAGTCTTGAATGTTGACGATGATGAGGTATTCATGGAGGGCGCTTCGGATGTTGATGAGGATGAGGTGTTTAGGGAGGGCGTCTCGGATGTTGAAGATGAAGAATCTGAAGAGGGCGAGGCGGAGATTGAACAAATTGAAATCAATGTCAGAGCAGCCGAAACGAGGGAGTTCGAAACTCAACAGACTCTTGCAAGGTTGGCCGAAAACAGCATTTTTGATCAAGACTTAAAGAATTTTGAGGTCACGGAAGAGTATATCGAGCAAACAATTGAGGAGACTGAAGCTGTCGCCGATGATACCGAAGCCTTTGTGTCGGAGAAATTCAGACGAGCACCTCCCAATTCTTTATCTCCCTTAAGAAGTCGTGGCCGCAAAGAATTTACACCTGAATCTAGGACAAGCAAAAAAGAACCAACCCCAACCAGCCCTAGACAAACCCGGTCCAGCAAAGATCTTTCACCTTCGCCTGATTTCAAGAGGAGTAGGAAAGGATCGGCGACTATAAGTCCTAGACAAACACGTTCTAAGAAGTTGGAGCCAGTTGTGGAGGCTATCCCTCCTGTTACGCCAACAAATTACAACAAAGAGAACGAGAGGCCATCTACACGTGATAGCAATCGGTCTAAAAGGTCGCCATCTCTAGTTCTTGATGAAGAGAAAACGCCAAAAGGTCCGGATACGAGCACTGAAATGGCAATACTTGGACTACCCGAATCGCCTACAAAAGCCGGCCATCATCTAAGAGCACCAGCAACTACCGATCCGAAACTACGTCTGACCAAATATCTTCGTACTGATTTGAGTGAATACACAACTCTCAAAATGCTTCGTTTCAAAATGAATTCTAAACTAGATATTTTGGCAATCGCTACAAGCGTACCTACTGAACCTCAAAGAGCAAAGTCAGGGCCAAGACACTACACTAGCATCTTCACTATTACCGATCAAACTATAGCTCCTTCCGGCGTAGTGGAAGTGAAAATCTTCCGTCCATACAGAGATGCTCTTCCCACACCTGAAATTGGAGATGGTATATTACTGAGAGATTTCAGTGTCTTATCGGTCAAAGGGAGAGGTTTCACATTGAAATCTGAAGAAGAGAGTAGCTGGGCAGTGTTCAAGGATGAGGGTACAGAAATAGAAGTTCGGGGACCTCCTGTTGAATATGGTCATGGGGAAAAGAAACACATGAAAGAATTGAGAGAATGGTTTCACGCACTCGATGATCGTCAAAAGACGAAATTAGAAAGGCTTAGTGCAGCGATGGAGAAGGATACTCAGGGAAAGAGTGCCACGGAAAAGGGAAAGAAGTGAGGGAGATATGGATTTGCATCTCTGGAATTTAGACGTGAAGCGATTCACGGAGTTCAATCGAGAGTAGGACCTAATGTATAGATAAATGTATTTTATAATGACTGCGGCGCATGGGGGGCAGACTCGTTTGGGGACATATACACATAGGTTTCTCGAAGTTATGGAAAACGATTATGAGAATCTTCTCGGCAGATGAGACGAGATGAGCGCATTTAGCTAGCTATCTTAGTTTTTGAAGCAGCAATACCTCAATTAGAATTTAATACGTACTATCAGAGATGGATCGATGTTTAATACTTGTTGTGATATCAATGTGGTATGGTGTGCTTGTAATGCAATGAGCGTTTTTCGAGAACCTCAGTCCCTTGCCTTGATTCGGTAGAATTACGGTTGGAGGAATTACAGATGGTGATTTTCTAGTAAAGGGGATGCACCTAGGTATTTAATGGTGGCATTGATCAATTTTATTATCAAAACGTTGAACCTGTTGGACCAGAAAGAGAAGATATACTAATAGAGATAGATGAGTGATTGAAGCTGTGGATGTGGGGATAGAACCATGATGCGAACATATCAGCACGCGTATTTTTCAGCATGCATATCGAGTGCGCAGTTCATGCATGTACGTACTGTGTATCCCATAGGAAGAGCTGAAAATCCTCAGCAGATTCTTGGCTTATCACACAAAATATATTATTCAATTCAATGGGTAAGTAAGCAACTAAGTAAGTATACAATTTCGCTTTCTACATCAGATGTGAAACGTACCGGAAAAACAACTCACTCCTCAGTAATGGACCCTTTAAGTCTATCGGCCAGTTTGATAGCCGTCCTTCAAATAACCGGATCCGTGATATCTTTCTGCTACGATTATCGTCAAGGTGTCAAACATGCTTCGAAGGAAATCGTGCAGATTTCAGATGAATTGAATAGTTTGAGAGATATTTTGGATTCGTTGCTTAAACTTGCTGAGAAGGCTGAATCAAATGGCTACTCCCAACTATCGACATTTGAATTGTTGTTGAAGGATGATGGACCGCTTTTCGTGTGTAAAAACGAGTTGGAGAAGTTGAAGGGACAACTGGAGAAAGGAAGGGTGGGTGGGAGTGAAGGATGGAGGGCAATTAGGGAGAGATTGGTTTGGCCGTTGAAAGAGGGTGAGGCGAGGAAGACTTTGGTGGTGCTGGAGAGGTTGAAGAGTACGTTGGCTTTGGGGCTGAGTGCTGATCAGACGTGAGTTTGAAGTATTGTTTGGGGGTTGAAGTGCTTATGAGATGGTAGGAATTTGACCTTGAATCTTACGAATAGGATTGAAAATCAATTTGCAGGTAAGTCTACGGATTAGATTCGAGAGCTGTTGAGAACATGGTGGATTTTGATGTGAAAACCCGTGTTCATGGTTATGGGCGAGGGATGTTATGTGAAGATCGCTTCAGCAATTTCTTCTTTTCGGAATACTATCCAGTTTATTGGGAATTATGATCGAAATTGACACATTGTACAGATCAAACAGCTCGGGATATTTATCGATGGCTCGCTGCACCAGACCCATTTCCTACCCATTCTGCAACATTAAAGAAACATCAACCAAATACTGGAACATGGTTCATAACAAGCAAGCAATACGAAGATTGGTATCTTGGTAGTGATGCCTTTCTATGGCTTTATGGTATTCGTAAGTTGAATGACCTTGAGTAAAGTTTTTGACTAATCTCTTGATATCAGCTGGTAGTGGGAAGACTGTACTATGGTAACAAGCACTCTGAAGTATACTTGGACTATCAATAGCTCACTTTATTTACTAGTTCTACGATTGTAGAGCATTTGATGACTCAAGTTCAACAACACCCTAAGATAGCACTCGCGTACTTCTATTTCGACTTCAACGGAGATTTGAATGGCGCTCTCAAATCTTTGATTGCTCAACTCTCGGCACAAAGTAGTGATATTCCTCGGTCATTGACAAATCTTTACCAGGAGTTAAGCACGAAAACATCGACATCGCCAACTGATGATGCGCTTCTTGAATGCTTTCGTGACATTCTATTGTCATTCCATCATATCTACATAGTTTTTGATGCACTAGATGAGGCCGCCAGAAATACAGAAGTCCTGTCATTCATTTCTACCATAAAGGCATGGAAATATCAAAGATTGCGCTTGCTGGTTACTAGTAGACAATTGACCGAGATAGAAGAGGTCCTGTCTCCTTTGGTCAGTAATCGAATGTGTTTGCAAGATAACATGTCAGCAAGAAGTGACATTAGATATTTCGTCTCCGAGAAAATGGAGCACGATAAAATAATGTCAAAGTGGCCGCAAGATATTCGAGACCAGATTGAATTCAAGTTGACTCAAGAGGGAGATGGCATGTAAGTACCCGGGGCCCCTCTTTGAAGATTTGAGGTATTTATTTTGACGATAACACAGGTTTCGATGGGTAGTCTGCCAATTAGATATGTTTCGAAAATGCACCAGCGTGTCAGCGATACGTAAAGCGATGAAAACATTACCCAAAAGTCTGGACGAGACTTATGAGCGAATATTGCAGCAAATTGATGTTGACCATCGATCGGAAGTTTCGAAGATTCTCCAGGCTCTCACAGTAGCTGCAAAGCCCTTGAATGTTGAGGAGTTGGTGGAAATTCTAGCCATAGATTTTGATCGGGATCTACCGTGCTTTGATGAAGATTCTCGACTTCTCAACCCGGAAATAGTTCTTTCTATATGCTCGTCTCTTGTCACCAAATTTGAATCAAGATCAGGACAAGACGGAGAGTTTAAGAATAGATGGAAAAGAGACTCGAAAAGACAGGAACCTATATATAGTTCACATGGAGTGAAACTCGCACATGCATCTGTAGCAGATTATCTCACTCGCACAACAACCTCGCCGTTTCACTACACTCAATGTACAGCGCGTCAATTTATGGCTCAAGCTTGTCTGGCATATCTACTCAATCCTGAGTTTTCTCAAGGTCATGACCGAGAATTGCTCAAGAGTCGCTATCGAAAATATCCCTTTCTTCGTCACCTCACTATAAACTGGCCACGATATGTTAACAAAGAACCTGGCGATCCCGATGATTATCTTGCACCACGTACTCGGAAGCTCCTCCATGCTTTCTTCGAGACTCATAATCTCGAGCATGGTGGTAACTTCGCTTTCTGGCTTGGCATGATGATGCCATCTGCTCCTGGAAAGGATTCATATATGCTGAGAACACATCCTCTCTACTACGTAGCGTCTTTTGGACTTGCAGATATTGTGCGCATCATATTGGATACGGAGACAGATATCGATATCGATGCACTTGGGGGACGAGCAGATGCGACTGCTTTACATGTCGCCTGTTACAGAGATCATTATAAAGTTGCAAAGCTCTTGCTCGAGAGAGGTGCGAATCCGGATACTCCCAACGTTTCTGGAGAAAGCCCTTTGTATTGGGCCAGTATTAATAATCCAGACGGGAATATGGTGGAATTGTTGTTGGAGCACGGAGCAGATAAGACAGGGCGTCAGAAATGGGTTTCAGGGAACGATATGCCGGATGTTCCAACTGTTTTGTGTTATCGATAGCTCACGATAGATGACTATTATTGAGAATTTCAGATGGCAAGAGTATCTTAGTGAAAGCTCCTATCGTCCATGATTTTCTCCTAAGCTTCTTGATTGTGAATATGCATGCACGGAGACACGGCATGCTGAAGATAGCTTGCTCTAGTGGCGCGCCACAATTCATATCCATACCTATTGCGGGCCTGTACGAAAATGTGATGACAGACACAGATTTCCTTGTAGATAGCAGGGGAGGTTACAAAAGAGCGGGGGTAAGCGACTAGGCTTGGGGTGGACGGAAAAACTGGGACCCCCAACCACCATAGTCACGGAATCTCTAAAAAAAATTCTATCTGATCTTATGTTTCGATAGCAATTTAGTAGATAACATGATAGGACTGAACATTCCGGTTGGTTCTTACGAACAGAAGTCTATATTAATATTGCCACTGATTGCGCAGCCTTCAAAAGATCAAGCAAGCTATGCAGCCACTTTCACTACCTAGGTATCTATGTGAGGTTGATTTTGACGTTGATAAAGCTCCCCGCGTTGTCGAAGCATTCAGGCTCAAGCATGGAGGAAGTACATCAAAGCAAGTATTAGAAGTGAAGAAGAGATTTGAGATAGGAATACGGTATCCGATGGATAACATCTGAGACACACCCCATGATATTCTTTCGTTCTGAACCTTGGATTTCTCTATATGAGAATAAGTGGGTAAATGTTTTGAGATGGAAGAAGATGGGAGCTGATAGGGAGGACAACATAGACAATTGGGGCACAACCCGGTCTCAGCCCTCTTCGTCGCAGCCGTTTTGTACACAACTTTCTTCATCAACAGCTCTGACGTGCAAGTAAAGAGATACTCAAAGGGCAAGATACTTGAATATCCCTCCCTTCTATATTCTCTCGTCACTATGTTGTTGTTGTTGCTGCTATATCAAGAGTGCTAAAGAACAGGGCAATAAGATCAGATGATCTGTTCAATTCAAATGAGAGGTTAGTCAATAAGAGATTAGTGAGACAGAATCCATGAAATCTAGTATTCAAATCAGTATCTATATCAGTCGAGCAAAGCATCTATATCAGTCGAGCAAAGCAAGAAAAGTGATCTTTGAGTGTGCAAGGGAGGAAACAACCATTCATCACGGTGTATAGGTGTATAAGTTTTTGTATCCTGCGACAGACAAAGTCGATAGAGAAAGAAGAATCCTTGGCCCATCAAACATAGATGAGATGTTCGGAGCGCTCTCCGGAATCAAGTTTGGATCTGAAGTTTTGACAACCATAACAAGAAAGTCTGACATCTGATTTGAAATGACAATTGCTGCCTCACGCAACGATTTCTTTAACACGAAAGTTACACGACGTTCGAAAGATGGGGTATCAAATCAAACAGCTTGATTTTCAGGAACAGACAAGGATCGCATTTAGCCAGTATCCATCCGATCTCTTTGAAGTTTGCGCGAACCGGATGAATTGAGGCTGCCACACTGTTCAATGAGCCTACCCATCCGCCTGCCACGGGGCAGTCATTTAGGAGGTCGTCAACAAAAGCCATCGACGTTGCAGCCAAGTAGGCCAAGTAGGTTGGCATCGGTTGGCATCGCCAAGTAAAGCTTCGTCACCTCCATCATTCCCATGCCAAGTAAAGACGCATAGTCTATCTTGGCGCTCATAATTAATTCTCCGGATATCAAAAGAATCAAACTTTTGCGATTCAGGACGGTCACATTCGGATCCTCACATAATAAATTGCGAGATTCAAAAGGAAGGAATGCAATCCATAAACCATATCAGGAAGGTTGTTTCGTAATACAAACCCTATCTCGCGACGCCCGAGGAATTTGCCTTGATTCACCCACAGATTATTCGCGTGATGATTGCGTTTCTTCCTGATGATATCTCGAGATAGCACTAGATAGGTCGCTTTCGAACAGAAATGGTAAGTTAGGGTTACACGATTCGTGTATTGACAAGCATTCGTAGCCGATAATGGAGCCGGCGCGGCGTGCGTTGCCGAGACGGGAAGCTAGTGCCTGGGTAGCCCCATACAGGCTTGTTCTTGTGTTGTATTCTCCTTGTAAAGCTTGGTTTTGACAATGGATAGGTACGGTATTCCTCGGCATTCCTTGAAGATTTGGAGATACTCCTGGTTGTTTACTGAGCCTACACTGTCCTTCGTATCTTTCTGCAATTTCTGAGGTTGTCTCTGGGGGTTGCGATAGGTAGATAATCCCTTCATGTGAACGACAGCAATGATCGACCAGGATACTAAACCGCCAACTTGTCTTGCATAATTTACCTTCCACATTTCGCAAAAAGTTGCGTTGCTTCCCTTACTATAAGATGCAAGATATATGGAAACCATGATCAATATGTGGCTCGAGCGGAGATTATAGAGGGGTATGTTCGTTACAACATTGATCTAAGATAAGGTTCTTTCCATCTCCACACCACATGATTACTTTGATTGGTGGACCATTTGAAGACAGCCGCTCACGTCGCCGTTCTGTTCCTGTGCCCGTTGAACATACATTATACATAGGCGCCAAAACAAGGTTTCTCAGATAAGAAATTAGAGGACCTCCTTTTTATGGAAAGGACTGAAGACAATCGACGATGATCTTCAGTTAAGATGAATGATGTTTAACAGGCTTGAGGGTTAATAGGGAAGGTGATCAAGTTGATCTCTATGGTCTCTATGGGTCTAATTGGTTCTATATGGGTATTGCCCTAGTCAAACTTAGACGTCGGCATTCGAGGTTGAATGGCCTCATTGGCGACTATTGGACCTTTAATGCAAAGTGCCGGTGAACAAGTCCAAATTGAGATATCGACATCCCCATGTTATCGTGATAACAACACATTCTGATCATTTGGGAAGGTAGATTGAGACCTAGGTTGAATTGTAGTTGAGCTTGATGTGAAGAGTCAGTAACTCTCAATCGTATATATATCATGTCTTCATCCGCTGGATAATGTCTTTTTCTCTCCAGTCCAGCTTCAATCGTTACTCAATCCTCACAGCCAGTCCAATCCAATCAATCTATTAATTGTTCGTTCGTTCGACAATCAATCAATCAATCAATCAATCAAAATGAAGTTCTCCACTGTCGCCGCTACCGCCTTCTTGGCCGGATCTGCCGTTGCTGCCCCAGGTACCGCTTTGAGACAAGCACGTGCCGTTAAGCGCGCTGCTGGCACCCACGGTAACCCAGTCAAGTACGTTCAAGGACCATCTTCCGAAGCTACCAACAAGACCGATGTTTCCTACTCCTCCAACTGGGCTGGTGCCGTCCTCGTCGGCACTGGTTACACTTCCGTAACTGGTACCTTTGTTGCTCCATCCCCTTCGACTGCTGGTTCCGGATCCGCATGGGTTGGTATCGACGGTGACACCTGTGGTACTGCCATTCTCCAAACTGGTATTGACTGGACCAAGTCCGGTTCTTCCATCACTTATGATGCTTGGTATGAGTGGTACCCAGACTACGCATACGACTTCAGCGGTATCTCCATCTCCGCTGGTGATACCATCAAGGTCACTGTTACCGCCACCTCTAAGACTGCTGGTACCGCGACTGTCAGCAACGTTACCAAGGGTAAATCTGTTTCCCACACCTTCACCGGTGGTGTTGACGGAAATCTCTGCGAGTACAATGCCGAGTGGATCGTTGAGGACTTCGAGGAGGGCAGCTCCCTCGTCGATTTTGCCAATTTCGGTACCGTTACCTTCACTGGTGCTTCTGCCGTCAAGTCCGGAACCACCGTCGGTGTTACCGGCGCTACCATCATCGATCTTCAGCAAAACACCGTCCTCACCGACTGTTCTCTCGTTGGAAGCACTGGTGTTACTTGCAAATACGTTTAAATAACGATTGTTTGATGTAATCTTGAGCCTGCATTCCATTGCTCATCTGATTCGCGATAAAATATTGGTTGGATCCCTGGAATTTGATTGGTCTGGGGGATGGACTTACCTTATTGTCTTTCGCTAAAAGAAAATGGTGGTATTTGGATGATGTGATGAGATTATGAACAAGGGGGCTGCCCTCCCCAGCTTTGAGCGATGGCTCTCTTTGGTGGGAGGGGCATGGTATTGGCTTGGTGCTTTATATTTTGGTTTCTTTATGTCCATAGTTTTGTCTGGTGGTCAAAAAAATGAAGCACATACTCTCCCTGATTTTCAGTTCCTTCTGCTTCCTTGTGAAACCGTGAAAAATTGTTGCCGTGTAATTTAATGCTACAATGAAAGATGACGGAATGTGGAGTATATCTAGTATTTGATATGGATTTTACAACCCAAAACGTTTTTGAATCTTAAATTTACTAATTAATGTTTTAATATAGCTTAATATAAAAGAACATAACTAGAAGAAGAATATTGATTATAAAAGTAATTATTAATAAAAAATCAAGAGGAAATTGAAAACGAAGTATTTGATTTGTGTGAAAAAGATGAATTTGAAAGTTTTGAAAGTGGATATAGAATTCAAAAATTATCTTGAATTGAAAAATCGATAGGAAGTACTATAGTAGAGATTTGAGCTATATGAGCGTTCAACTAGTGGATTAGCAGCCAGTTGTCGCTTCGTCCTAATGAATTAAATAGGCACTACTGTTCTTATCCACCAACATCTACAGATTTCGAGAAGAAATTTGAGAGAAATTTGAAAGATTTCAGAATCCAAAAACGAAAGTTTGCATTGAACATGTTGGCTTAAAGAAAGTAAATAGCTAGGACAGCAAAATCAAATCTAGCAGTCAGAGTCGCATCGCAGCCCAAATACAATCCAAGCAATATTCCACCCATAGCCATCAAACTTCCCATGTGCATCATTCTGATACCCAACGATCTTCCCCCTTTTCTTCTAGATCCCCTCCCAAATTTTATTCCATTATCATCCTATTCTTTCATAGCAGCAGCAACTGAATCACCAGTTAGCTCTTGCATCAGTAAAGAAAGAGGTTCAAACGGGAATTCACACTCCCGAATATAGATCAAGTCATACCTTCTTGTCGTCTCTTGGCTTTCTCTTTGAGTCCACCTCCCAACACAGAAGTAACAACAGAAGTCGGATTCTGCAAAATTCCCCCCACAACGGGTCCTACAATTGGTAAGTTATTCGTGATCCCCTTCCCAGTTGCAATTCCCGGAACACTTCCAACAACATTTCCAAGAACGGGAAGACTTTGTCTCTTGACAATTTCATCTCGTTCTTTCAACCCTTGTAACCCTAAACCTCCAAGTATACCAAGAAGAGGAGCTAATTCTCCGACCAAATCCTGTCTCTTCACAATCTCATCTCGTTCTTTCAAACCCCCTAGCCCCAAACTCCCGAGTATACCAAGAATGGGATCTAATGCACCAGTCAATGATCCTAGTCCCAAATCCTGTCTCTTGCTAGAACGACCAGCTTTCTGAGTGGCGGCGGCGGCAGCTTCCGCAGCGGCTATGGCGCTATTGATATATGCTATGTCGGCGGGAGTGGCGAATTGGCCAAGGCCAGCGTCAATGAGTGCCTGAATTACGGCGGGAGGGGGGATGGAGACAACTTGGGGACTTGTGTCTAGTGATGTGAGTATTTCAACTAGTTTGGTGTTGGAGCTGGGGCACGATAGAAAAATATACCTTTATCAGGGACAGGCGCCGCAAAAGCGAGAGGGAGAATAGCAGCTGTGATGAGTGAGATGGGACGCATTTTGGCTTGTTTGAAAGTTGGAGGCTCTCTAGATTGAATATATTGAAGTTGCAATGAAGATGATTCAAATAAGATCTTGCTGATGTAGTAAAGTAAAGATGATGTATATTTCTTTATCCTCCATCCAGGTACCAATGAAACCCTTAAATAAAAATGTTTTCAAACTTCAAGTTCTTCTAAATTGTCAGTACAATGTTCAGATTCTGTACCTCGGCATGAGGGATTAACACAATCGGCCCTCATATTTCCTATATTTGTACCCTTTTTGCTCATTGATCATTGAGCGATAACTCAATTTCACCTGTCGAGTACCGCAAGAACGAAGGTCTGTCGTCGGTGCTGCCGATTTATCGAAGCTTTTGTTATACCCTTGTGGAACTTTGTGACTGGGGTACATCATGTTGGTAGCTAGTATCTGGGGAGACGCAAAGGCCGTGGGAAAAGCTGGAAATATAATGGTCATTGATCTTGGCGTTCTTGATTTGAGAAAGGATCGTGGAGGATAGCGTTATTGAAAGGGCTTTCAGCCGGAAGAGTTGATAGATCTAGAATCGATTATTGGGGAATTTGGTATGCAGTGGAAGATTGGCGGAGGTGCACAGAATAAAGACTGGTTAGGCTTGCACGACATCTTTCGGTAAACTTCATCTTTTTGGGTGGAATGGAGAGATCCGTGTACAACAATGAGAAGAGAACGTCAGTTGAGACACGATGAGGAAATGGACTGAGAAGATTCGTGGAATGCAAGTGTTGCAATATTGAGTACATGGCTGTGAAAAACAGGCTAGGGATGAATATTCATGAGAAAATGGCAGTCAAATTGATGTGGCTGATAGAGGAGTCGTCCAGCTGATGAAGCCATTTAATTCCAGCCCTCAATTGATAGATTGGAGTCAAGTTTCTGAGATCACTACATAGTCTTAAACCCCGTAGATTAAAACCTAAATCCCGACTCCGAAGAAGATTCGTGTTAGTCTGGGGATTATGAGGTCAGATGTAAAAGTTCCTCAAAATATTTGCACGATCGAAGATTCCAGCTTTATCTGATTTCTTTCATGACAGGGAGAATTCTCCGACACGGACCAGAGCTCGCAGCTTTGTGACAACGCTGTGGTAGTAATACCATGAATTTCAGCACCATGAAATACAAAAGACGGAAACAAGTCTTTTTCAAACTTCGAATCGAAGATCAAAACCTTACTTCCATTATAAACCTTGGTTTCAGCCAGCCATAAGCTTTATTCAAGGACTCAAGTCAAAATTTGACAAGCTTCAAGGCTCGTCCGACGTCTTTCAATCAAAAATCTTTTGCACGCTTTTGAAGCATGCTCACTGGAGCACAAACCGCTCATAAAAAGTAACTGTTGGCAAAGATCATAGTATTCATGATCCGCATTCAAATCTCCAATCTCCAATCATGGGAATCGTGGATTGTAGATCGATTCACGCTACCAATTGGAAATTTTGGTATATGAGAAGATCTTCCGGTAAGTCCCTGGGGAGAATTGCGAATCATTCTCGCTTGCTTCGTGGATCTACTGCGTGGCAAAAGTTGTGACACTATTTGGTAAGATGTGTTTAGTCTTTCGAAAGAGGCAAGCTTGGGTCGATCTTAACTTCTGGAACACTTTCAATGCTGGAAGACTTTTGATGCTGGTCTCAATCTCAAGCGATTAGACTCCCACTGTAACATATTATCATGGCGGGTGGCACTGATGTTATGCATTTTGTTCATGTGGATCATGTGGTAGCACCGTTTTACTGACGATGTGTTTTGCGGTGGGGGGGTTCATTATTAGAAATCAAAGCCAGATACCGTCCGAACTTGATCAAAGACGATTTCATCCTCAGGGATTGTAAAGATGGCAGCTGAACTGCAAAACTAGACAGTGGGATTAGATGAGAATTCTTTAACGCTCAGCTGTGTTAAGAAATTCGACCTTTCCTCCTCTCCAATTCCAAATGATCGACAGTAACAAGATTCTCAAGAAAGAAAACACGTGCATGTAACCTTGTTATCTTGTTAGGCAGCGACCAGATTGCTAATCTACCAGATTGCTGCCTGCACAACATGAGCTTCGGTGGCCTCCCTCCGAAATCTCCGATAAGAAGAGCCAACAGTTGGCTTACCCGAGATCGTTCACCGTTGAAAAGCCGAATAACCTCATGTCGGACCGGTAAGAGCCATGAAAGCCTATTTGTCTCGGCATCCTTCAAACTTAAGACTATTTCGGGGAGGTGGAATTACTCACGTCAATAGCCCCTAGGCCTTATCTCATGCAGCTCAACTTCATGCATGCAAAAATCCGAATATCTGCATATTCTCAACGAAGCAGGTTCGGCCCGGGAACACCCACAGAAATATCAGAAACGCACGCTAAATGCAGGGACTTATCTTCAACCGTGGATTTCTTCATCAAACATAGTGCTTACAGGTCTTTATGGGCCTTTATAAGCCCCTTACGTCTTTCGTTCCCGCCAGCGGCAACTTCATTGTCGTGCCAACCAATGTAAGCAATGAGGCAGGCTGAAGGGGACCCGAGCAAGAACTTTACTCGGGTCCCAGAACCCTAGAACTAGCTGCAGTATAGAAGGAGCAATACGGCTGACGGAAGAATATCTACAGGAGAATCAGCTTACTAACTGCGGTTCGCGAAGGGTATCTTAGATGAGGAAGTCACGGGGAGTAATTCAAACCACCAAATCGTTATCAAAATTAACGATCTACACTGCACGAAAGGTTGAGGCAAAGAGTCAACCGCCTATAAAGATCTTTATTTCTTAGATTCGGGAGGATGATGGAACAACTTACATGAGAATACATTGGCCGAGCTGACTGCAGAAGTCTAAGCAGGGTAAATAGTGATGTCTAGACTGTCGCTTTGCATACTAGAGATAACTGGCGATCTCTGGAGCGAGTATTATTCAGATGAATCTCGGGATGAGAAATTGATTGCTCTACGCAACTATCGACGGAATGATTCACCCATGTTGGATAAGAAAAGACGGAATTTCTTGTGATGCTGGCAGCCTCGGATGAGAAGGAAGTAGGAATAAAGTTGATTGAATGCAGTGAGAATGATGATGGCGTAATCATGTGTTTAGACACAAAGAAATTCTTTTGGTAATGTAACGGTAATATGTTAATGCTAGCATATATACAAGCCCAATGCCAAGAGGAATATCGTAGATAGAGTTTTACCACTTTCCCTAACAAACACGTGGTTGCCGTCTTGATGCACACATACAACGTGATGCAGCGCATACTCGACCTATAAGAGTGTCAGGCTGTAGAAAGAGTCATATAGCATGTAGCGCTTGAATTCCATGACTCTCAATTGTGATTTTGACCTATCGGCTGCCGGAGACCCTGAATAGTTTTCCCTGCTCAAGATCGCATGTGCTGCCCTATATCTTGTGGTATTGTGGCTTGCGGGCGTTGAGATGGGAATCCGGTGTCCGGTGGTTGTCAAGAAGATATCCTTAAGCTTTTGACAAAGCTTATGGTATATGATAGCAAGGATGATCCTGACAATCCAGGACAGAAACCAACATGTTGTATCTTGAGAAATCGAAAATCTGGGGACATCCTAGTAGACAAATCTCAAGCGTTGCAGCAAATCCACCCGAAGAGAAAATCAGGGTCGTGATCTCAGAGATAAGTCTATGAAAATAGATGGGTACCACAGATTCCTAGAAGAGAAGCCCACAAATAACCGGGTCAATATCAAGTATCAAACACTGTGGTCCCCCCATTTTCTTATCGAGAGGATTGTGACCGAATGATCTCAGTATTATTCCTTTCTGCAAGGTATGAGGAATTTGGATGCGAAGGAGGCTGGATAGGATTGCGCATCCTATTCATGGAAACCTATTAGCACCAAATTTGACCAGTTATCTTTGAAGCTTGAGTGAGAACCGGTTTGATACGGATCGAAAAAGCGCAAGGCCGACGACTTGCGGAAGTCCGCAATGCCCGCAACGCCCGCGATCCACCTATTATTACGCTAATAATTCGATAGATTGCTTATTTCTATCACGTCAACAAGCGGATTGTAATTTCGGATACAGAGCTTGCGAAGGGACCGTATCGTGGTCAGTGGAGGTCAAAATCTCGGCATGGCGAGGATCAAGTGGCGGCCCGATTTTAGTCGAGATCCCTTTTCCCTCGATTTCCGTCAAGAACATTTTGCGGGCTGAGAGGGTCACCTGAGCCATTAAACTCAATTACACTCGGAATGGAAAGCTACGCGACGGCAGAGCTGCATGTTCGTTGCCAATAGAGTTTTTTGATGCAAGCTTGATGTATTATATGGACCATCTTCATGGGTGTTCCAAATCCAGAAGTCTTAAAGCTTAATGCTTGGCCTCCGGGAATTCCATCCATTTTAGGGTTCACCAAGACCGATGTGACAGCCAAGATGCCCACGCGAGAGGAGTCATTGGATGTAGGGTTCATGCCACGCAATTGCAAACCGAAATAGGCGAAGGATGTGGAGGATATTTGAAGGTAGATATTTGACGCTCAGGGAAAAGTACTACCTCGGGAGGATCGTACCCCCATGGATTAAAATGTTCTGATCGAAAGGCTAATAGCGGCTAATTTGACGGGTATGCTCCATGAGTCGCCCCGCTAAACGAATTACCCCTAAAAAGTACCGGGTATAACAGGGATTCAACTCCATGTCAACATGTTGATATACTTAGAAGGTACATAGTTGTGATTTTAAAGTGTGAAAACTTTCCTTCAATAGGAACAAAGCTGTACTCGGGTCCGGGCAAGGGTCTTCTATCAGGCAATTAGTGACTGAACGCGAGTGGCTAGCTGCAAAAACCCCACGTAAAATATGGGGGGAGCGATAAAACAGATTAAGCGAGCAAGGATAAGATACCGTTGAATACCTTGGTACTTATCTGATTATCGACGTGGCCATGATTCGTACCTAGCGATTGCTTACAACGAATCACCTCCCTAAATAATGTGTGAACCGTGCAGAACTTGTACATATCGACCTGTACACGTTTCGCCGCACAAATCCTTCACGATCCTTTCAAATTGACATGGAAACAAGGCTACGAATAACCCCATATCCTAACCACGAATAGTTGGGGAACTTGGTGATTGTGCGCGTAATAGAATCTCAAGTGGGACTTGTCCTGTAACAATTTCATTTCCTGGTAGTTCCAAGGATGGTCATTGCACAGTTGCCAGGATAGTAAAGTAGTTTGCGACTAAGCTTCACGTAATCGTATACACAGTACCCGATAATTGGGATCTGTAAACCGAAGTGTTTCTTTATACCGGTACCAAGAATCCGCCTTCACATTTTGCCTCTATAACACGTGGAGCTTACTGTATTAGTAATTTTGCAGGTTTCTGATACATTGGTACCGCCAAGCAATAGCAAGTTACTCAACAAACTTTGTTCGTAATTCTCCCAATCATAACTATACCAAGTCGATTTCCGCTCAAAATATCTCAGTAACACAGATATCGGTGACATTAATGACACAAGCTCTCGGCACAGCCCGCTGCACGCAAGACAACCGTTGAAGCCACAAAGTTAAAATGCCATTTTAGATACGATAAAGTCAAATTCCGATGATCAAATCCTCAAAAAGCGAGTGTGTCACTGCAGGTTCGTCCAGCCCCCCCCGGGACGGTTTACCATGCATGATAGCGGCGCGCATCTCATTGTAAGACGCTTCTGATCCCGGGCCCGATAGTTGATAGAACCCTTCCTTCATCTGATCGTTATATCTTTAACCGCACTGAAAAATTATATGTAACTTGCATTTGTGCCACACACCAAATTTAATTGCGGATCTTGTTATTCTCATGTTGGCATCAATGAATATCATAGCACCATCTCCATCACGGGTTCGTAAGTACTGGACGGACGACGAGGACCAGATCTTGCGCAGAGAAGCTACACTGCAATGTAATTGCCACCGATTTTCTTTCAAGTCATTCTCCTTGCATTTACAATGCTCTTGGAAATCCAAATAAACGATCGACTGATTCTAATTGTCTTAACAAATAGTCAAGGAAAGGGGAATTGTGAACGACTGGAATTTGATCGCGTCGAAAGTCCGTGGTAGGACAAATAAGGATTGCCGGAAGAGATGGAGCAAAGTGGGAAAGGAGGTCAACAAAGGACTATGGGATCATGAAGAAGACGATCGACTGAGGAGAGGAGTAGAGCAACATGGCACTTAGTATGTACACCCGAAGCACAAAAGCAACTCCATTGAAGCTAAAAATTTCTCACAGTTGGACTATGGTTGCCGAAATAGTACAGACAAGGCATGCAGACCGTGAGTGCTTTTCTGAGCTCCTTTGGATTTGGAATCATTCATTTACTAACCTGACATGTGAAAAGAATGCGCTAAGAGATGGTATCATTTTCTCGATCCAAATATCAGTCATGAAGATTGGGATAGTGACGAGGAAGCCCGACTCTTAGAGGCTGTCCACGTACATGGAAGGAGTTGGAAGAGCATAAGTGAGAAAGAGTTCCCAAACCGCTCACCAACAGACATAAAGAACAGGTTAGAGGAGCCCTTTAAATTTTCGAGATTTCAACGCAACGATTGCTTATTCTTTTGCTGGATTTAGATACGTTATTATGGAACGAAAGGGCCGATTGAAACGACGGAAAGCATCTACGACTCAGTGTACTCCAGTACGAGAACGCAACGGTTTCGACTTTCCCAAGTCTGAAAGACTCGACCAAGTTTTGCACACAGATTCATCACCTGACAATGCAATGGGGTACGAAACGGAGAACTCTTTAATGGGGCAATTGCCACTCCCAGGACTTCCTCTTCAGCTCACCGCTCAGCAACTGTCCCAAAACAACTTCAACAACGATGCACATTCACTTTTTAATTTTGATGGGCTACCACCTCTACAATTCAATGACATGTCATACTCGTCCACAGAACCTTCGTCACCCGGAATTTCACTGGCCCAAAATTCGGTACCTTCGGGATACAACATGGGCATACCAACAGTTGGCGGTCTTACCAGTGAAACAGAAGCAGATATTGATCAGCTTTACTGTGAAGATATGAATTTTGATTTAGCATTGGCCGAGGCATTTTCGGCACCAGATCACCGACACTCGATAGCTTCTACGCCACCGACCATGAGTTCGGTATCCGATGTCCCGGCTGGACATAATTACAAGTTGATACTCGAGGATGTGAAGCCGGATACCTTGTTTTCCATTGTGAACATGCTTGTGGAGTCCAGGAGTAATGTGAAGATGGAGGTCTTCAGTAACGTTGCTTGATACCCCGGATTACTTCTACCACGACTTTCAATCTAACGAGAACTTTCAGAAATGCATACTGTACATATTCATTTGTAAACTTTTACTTAGGAGCTTTAAATCCTCCCCCAACAGCCATTCCATTAGCTTGAGAGAAATGCATACTCAACGAATTTTCATTTTGGATTGAGCCCATCTCTGTGGGGCCAATCGTTCTTCAACGGAAAGGCATATTCAAAGGAAAATTCGAAATATCAACAGAGGTCTTGCTTTCGTTTTCAAGCGGCTCAAGATGCAGCGCTCATGCTTTTGTTTCCAGAAACGGGATAGTTGGTTGGAAATTGCATGGGTCTTGGGATTTTTGCAGGCCCTACAGGCGCATTTGGTGGGTTGGGTTATATGGATATCAGCAAGAATCTGTCATGAATAGACGAATGACCTTAGTCCTCCACTGAGGATAGGATGGCACATGGGCAAGGATACAGAAATTTGAGGCATTTAGAAACTTTCCCGCCGATCTGTTGTTATAACATTTATTGCAATGATCATCATGAGATAAACCTTGCTAATGGTATCCTGAAAGGGAATAAGAGCCGAATATCACCCATACCGTACAGTGCAGACCTATAAGGCCATTGCTTAATGGAATCTTGCATAAATTTCAGTATATGTTACATTTCTACAAGGGCCTGTATATACAGAGGACTTTCCATGCCAGGCTGACGACTTAGAGGAAGCTATTGTAACTGTACAACAGAGCGGTGATTCAGCTATACCTATACCTATGTGTCACTCATGCAGTAGCCGTAGACAGAGTTTTTTTTCTAATGTCTGTGAATATGGCTGATGATAGCTCTATGTGTGCTGCAAGTGGTGCTCTTGTAGAGATTTCACTGCAATAGGTTGAAAGTTCATAGCTGTAGCCTGCAGACCACGTTCAATACCCTCCCTTGTCTCCCGAGCAATCTCAATATGTGTGTGGGGCGATAACCCTTCGATTCGGCTATATGGCCTTGGCTTCTCCAACCCCAGTCTGTTAGCGTCTGGCATATCGGAAGTGTCGATTGCAACGCTCTAAACTTTATTTTGTAACTGATAATATCATGTATCAGAAAATGGCTTGCATGAAAGAGTTGGACCACTAGGTAACTTCTCTTGGTCTTCGAGTTTTAGATAACCTTGAACGGTTGAACAAAGATAAAGAGTACAAAATGCGAGACCCCTAGACTAAAGATGTCACTTCTGACTGCATGTCGTCGCACAGACCTCTCACAGTCCACAGCCGCAGCATTGCTGCTGTTGAGGGATACGAGGGTGAGGTACCCACCACGTGTAGTCGGCAGAAATAATAAGAAAAATCAATGGTATGGCGCAAATTCTGTCCAATCAACCTTGGTTGAATGGTTACAAACTTGCTGTAAGCAGATGTTCGTATCCGATACATGACATATTGTTGAAGTAAGCAATGCTTGGAATGTACCCTAACTAAATAAGTTGTATCCCCGAGGCTGAATGTACAAGGGAATGGTACTGAGTCCGCTGACGTGAGAGCCTTAAATACTCCCTAAGGCATGCTACCATGTGATGGGGTCATCTTTATTGCTGTGACTAGACTTGATGAAATTCAACAATTTGATTGGATTATTTGGGGTAGTCTCTCATATGCGTCCGACCTCATCCGCATGGGCGTGTGATACTGGTAACCACCCACGATAACATATTTCGACAATTGTTTTCCAAGCCTCAATTCTGATGAGATTGGAACTCCTTGTGTGAATGGATTATCCCCAGACGAACAATGTAATAAATTATAGATTCGGATTCTTGGAACATGGCGGTCACCACCTATCCTGTCAACTAGATAAGTCGTTTATCTGGAAATACCTCTACTTCGTACTTCTGGATATAGGCCGTAGTAACCAAAAAAAAAAGAATCATTCTGTATTCTGGTTAACGAATAGTAACTGTAGCGCAAGATCTGAACGAATGAGAGAGTCGATAGTATGCCAAGACCCTTGGGCTGATAGCAGTTTGGGCTATAGATCGAGGGTAGCATACGGAGAGGTAGAATGTCATCAGCGCAATTCTCGAGAAGTAAATGCAAGGACAGATCCTTCGGGGTATCTCTGGTTCTATTCCCATCCCTAGCTTGCATGGTTCGAAGACAAGTGTCAAGGTTTTTATGTAGTAGTACAACACTATATATTATCATGGCAGGCAACTTTCGGTCATTGAAATCCTAGCCCTCGGGGATGAATATCCAACACCCTATTCATAAGCTGTGGATACCGAGCACAGCAAGCCGCCATCCCGAAATGCTAACAAGAACCCTGAAAAACGAAAGATGCGACGTCGACGACAATACATAGTTGCCTAGGGGGCGTCGATACCTTGAATGTTCTACCTCCCTAAGGCTAATCTCTGCTATGGAGGGACTTGCTGTACAACATGTGATGAAGACATGTGAAGTTGTATCAGAGTACAATTCAAAGCTCCCTTCCTACAGAAAGGAAAGGGGTTTTTTTTTGATACAGAAGCGAACAATTCTGCACAACATGATAGCCAAACGATATCCACGTGACACTTAGGATAACGAAGAATTTTTATCTATGTGGAGCATCAGGCTCTTTCTTAAGAGTCCTGCTTTCCACCAATCAATCGACAACTTCATGAATGATCGACACTGTGTGGTGGTGGTTGACAAGCTTTTTGATGTACAAATTGCCGTCGGGTAACCGGATTAACACGTTTCTGCGATATCCGGATATACCATAAACTCCCTTGCGGCGTCGAAAGTTCGGACTCGCTTCAATTTCGAGCGGATCATGACCAATGCATCTGTTCACCAGGGTCAAATGTTGAAAGTTAGGAGGAAGACTCCACTTCGGAGATGAGATATGAACTCGATTAGGTTATTAGAGGTACCGGTCAAGACGACATTCGACATTTCAACTTGATAAGGAATGACCAGGTAAGAACGCATAAATGTGCGAGACAGTCCGGTGTTCGGATATTTAGACTCCTCCACATGCGGAAGATTAGCTGACGCGCGAGAGAAATGATAGAGTTGAGTATCCCGTACCACTAATAAAGAAATTTCAGTCTCCGGTGGGACATATTCTGCTTGATTGACGAGGTGTTGATACGTCGAGTATTGCGGATTTTTTGGGCGTGTCTTTTGCGTAAACACAACCAGTATGTAGTCAACTAAACAGCTGTCCACTCAAGCGGGTGCGAAAAAATCGCAGATATCGGGATACCGATATTGGTGTGCTGATGTTGGTGCCGGTCCCGACTCACTGGGATGATATCAATCTTTCATGTCTAGTGATTGGTCACGTGCAATCGTGTCGAAAAAGTCACGAAAAGTGAGTGCCGAGATGCAAGACACCAATTGTTGATGGAATCATTTGTGCAGTTCCTTCAGGTTGTATATATACTCATCTGGGTAGCATCAATTGTTTGATAACGCAGATCAGCAGTAGCAGATTTTGATTGCTGTTTGTGATATATGACAGAGATTTTGAGGAACATGATAGCGAATCGGAGCTCCGGATGAGGGTCAGGTGATAGTCCTGTCTGTTGTCGATGTGTCTGGTTCTGAAATATGAAGACCTCGGATGAGACACAACATCGTTGATATGTCTCTTGCAACTCCGCAACTCCGAGTGGAAACTTCGTCCTGTTGCAACGATGCCATGAATTTGCCCTCGACAGTCCATTTTCACGTGCTCAGCCTCTCCGGGCACTTTCGCTGGCTCGCTTCACACATACGGCCTCCGCATTGACCTAATTATTAGTATGTGTACTCGGCTCCCAAGATCTTGCAGCATAGATCTCATCAACCAATCCTTGACCTTGACCTTGTGCTTAGTCCCGTAGGAATACTGCAGCCCTACCTTAGTACCACCCTTTCCAGCCTCTAACCAGGTTGGTTCTAGTTACATCTACCTTTCATTTTCTATAGGTGTCCTGTTGCGTCGATTTGCTTGCAGTCGAAATATACCTAGTTAATGTTTTCCTTTCCCGCACACAATACGAAGCTGGGTCAATCATGGAATTCTCATGAGCACAGAAATTGCCATCTTTCGCTATTCGCACCCGTATAGTGTGCATTAAATTGATCTCAACCGAGCCCTCGGCGATTGTGCTAGCTTTTGGGAAACTACTTGCCATCCTTCATCTATTTTCGCGCTGTGCAAGCCAGAAACTCGCGAAAAAAATGATTTCGCGCCCAAGCCAAAGCTGGTTACCAAGCCAAAGTTTTCAAGGGTACAAAAAAGCGGTCATTCAGTTCTTAAGCGGGCTGTTTCTTTATTGCGTTTCTTCTCGAATGGGCATTGTATTTATGATGGAAGAAGAGAGGCCATACGTTTATATATCTCTAGATTTTTTGTCTCAAAAAACATGAAAAATAGGGGGATCGAGGCCTTGATTCCTACCTTACTAACACGCGTTTCATACTCGGCCTGGCTAACCGATTGGGCATCCTTATCCAACGGGATCCAACCAACCGGAGAAGTGTGCCGTATCCCTGATTGTCTAAACCTCCCATGGTTAGTACCATGCTTTCCGACTCACTGTTAGCCGAAAATTTCGGGCTGAACATAATTTTGTATGAGACTGTCCTCAACTACTCACCAATCTCAACTTCTTTTGGTTCGGCTTTGAATGGCAGGTTTCGGTTCCGTGCTTCCGAGTTTCACAAATAACGAGGTACTACGGTGTTAAGCCAATCTGGCCGTGAAACTCCAGACCGAGTGCCTTCACGGCGTTTACATATGTGAATTGGTACACTGCAGCCACTACTTTTGTTGCCTAAATTGATAGGTCAACAGACCCCAGACAGTGAAAGGACCGAATGAGGAATGATCGGCGAACTTCTCCTCAAATCCTTTCGGGCGAATTTTGAATTTGGTTCTGATGGCATAATCTCCTTCAAGTTTGCCCCGTCCTATTCATTTTAACTTGCAGTCAAACTTCATCATCGATCATACAAAGGATTGGAGAAAACGCGGTGATGCACTCTGTGATATTGATTACTTTACGACCTGAGCTACCGCACTAAAAATTCGTGCTTTGAGCGATGCTCCGAAATGAGCCAAGGCACTCTGGGGAGCAGGAGGTGGGAGATACCTGAAGACTATCTGTCTTCGGATCTATGTGGCTCTCAAACCTCCGCATAATCCTTCGCTAGGTTGTCTAAAACCAAATTCCTTGGAAATTACGATTCAGCATTTTCTATAAATAGCGTTGCTTTTTATACCACTCTATATCTCAGAGGGATGTTTATTCATTTGCGATACAACCATATCAAATTATTCTCTGCATTAATCGAGACTTTAATAACCGTGTATGAGTCCCTAACTATTCAAGATATATGAGGACGTGCTTTGTAATGTATCTCGATCACATTGCTTTGTAAGAAAGCTCGTCCAATGCCTCCTTTGTATACAAATATTCCATGTTGGAACTGGCAATTTCAAATAAATTCAATATCCAGAGTAAGAAGGGTATAGTGCCACAGGGAAATTGGTAAAGCTATGGTATGATCTTGCACCTTTCAGACTCACCTCAATCATTGACTTCAAAGCTAACAAACGAATGGACCACCATGGCCGAAGAGACTTCGGAACCACAGCCTCCGCGGAAACTTTCTCACTTACACCCATCAAGCCTTTGATTACACCCATTAGAGTCTTCGCATTGTCAAAGCTCAGGATGGGCCACAATGAGAAGGATAGAAATACAACGGTTATGGAAGTCTATGCATCCTTTTCACATCGGGCACAGTGCTCGACTCAAGCTTTGTCTCGATAATCAAATTTAATCTATCCGTTGACTAGGAAGAAATCAGCTCAGAGTTGATCAGCTGACATGACTCTAACATAGCTTGTTTCTAGAAATCAATCGAATCACCAGTATGACTGGTCTTCAAACCAATCAAACCAACAAACCAACATCGCTTACCAAGTTCAACTCTTCGCGAGGCATCCATCCACTCCCCAACGTCCAGTAATCAATTTATTTCGAGCATCATATTATACTACAATCTTTATACTACAATCTTCCTACCTAAGCAAATATTAATTCTCGAACGTATATATGTACTCCACAGATCATAAGGAAGATTCATATCGCCTATATTCCTCACTCTACAAATCCTTCATATTAACCACGTTAGACTCTCTTTCCTATAACCCTACATTTACCTACGCCCAAGGCTCTGTATCATTACGATGATGATTTGTTCAAGAAGAAGTGGCAGCAAATTCGGGTTACACACCATACCATTTTGACTTAGGAAGTTCTGGTTCGTTTTTATTCTAAAGCTGGAAAAAACAAATAAAATAAATCACGACGATACCGCAATTCGACGTCCATGTTTCGACTTTCAATTTTGAGTTTACTTTTGAAATTATGATTATTTACTCTCGTTCCTGGGCTGCATTCGAAAGATAGCGGGATGTATCTCTCAATTCTCCCTTCTGATGAAAGCCTAAAAGAAACCTCTAGGTTCTTCTTGCCTCTGTTCATTCGACCGCTCCCGCCCAAGTCCAGAACCTTGTTCTTCCTCTCGCGATAGTAGTCCATACGCTCCACTATTTCCGCTCCCAACTGGACGATATGGCACGGGCATATCTATTTGCAACGGTATTCGTAATGGGTCTCCATTTGTCGCACGACTATAGTGAGATCCCGTAGTTGCTGAAGTGAAGGATCCTCTCGAGGTTCTGTACTCCGAATCTCGAGATTGTGATGGAAGTAATTGCGGTAGTGAAGGTGGCTGAGGAGGTGTCCTGGGATTGATGAAGCTCGGAGGGATGGATGGGGGGATATTTGGGTTCGTACTCATATCCCTCATATTCGCATATTCACTATCAGCAGAACTCCTTCCCAAGTCTCCACGCGGTCGTCCTCTTCCCATCGTACCACCTTCTAGGTACATTCCGCCTCCAAGCGCTCCATCAAATTCCCTCGAGACTCTGTCATCTTCTTTCAGATGCGCAGTATGTGTTTTCTCCTTGAACCCTTTAAACTTTTCAGACACTGTTACAAATACCCCTATACTTGTATCTCCATTTCCATCTTCGTCTCTTTTCCCCATTTTCTCGCTAGCACCCCTCTCAGATGCGGATCCTCGTCTTTTCCCATCTTGCAACTGAATACCTGACTTCTTACCCCGTCTTCGTTTTCTGAAACAAATTATCACTATTCCCAACATCACGATGGCAGCCAAGGCACTGGACCCAGCAATAATTGCGGTCATATTACTGGGGGATTTCAGAAAGTTTGACACGGTGGTTTGAATATCCTGGTTATCTGTTTGATTTTGGGTTTGGGTCTTATTTGAGGCTTGAGAATTCGCACTTGAAGTTGAACTTGTTCCTCCATTCTGAACTTGGTCTGCATTGGAGCTTGAAGAAGGAGAAGTTCGAGTATTGGCATTCCAGATGGTAGAGGATGATAAAGGTTGACTATTTTGATTTTGATACACACTTCCGCTTCGCGATGCTTGGAGAGAATTAGACGGTTGGTTTTGTGGTGTTGTTTGTGTAACAAGAACGATTGACGTCTGGGATGTTTCTGAAGCTGCTGATGAAAATGAAATCGCGGAAGTGGGAGGGAGATTGGATGTGACAACTTGTACAGAAACGGAAACGGAAACGGAGGTCCTGACGACTGTCTGAGTTGCGGAGGATATCTGAGTCTGAATTTGGGTCGCAGTCTCAGTCTCAGTGCGTGTATTTGTGGACTGAGATGATCTTTGTGGCTGGAAGTCTGTATTTGCGCTGGCGGTGGCGGCTGAATTGGAAGAGTCCTCCGTAAAAGTTGTTCCTCTGCCCAGTGTGAAGACTTTCCTTGATGCCGAACAACATTCAAAACCTCGGCCTTCGTCGCAACAAAATTGTCTCAGTGACGGATCACCACATGGTAATACTGCCCCAGTATCACCGACTACATCACATGTTAGCAATCAGATCTCTTTTACTGTAGTCATATGCTACGTTTTGGAAACCTACTACTCTGACAAATATTCGGGCAAGAAGCTGCTCTGAAATTGGAATCTGTACAAGATCCACGGGACAATTTATTTGGATCGTTCTTTGAAACGCACAATTTATTAGTAGAGCAAAACTCGTCAGATCCACAACATTGGCTTGTACTATCATTACTAAAGCAAGGTATTCCGTTTGGGTCACGAGATCCATTTGATGAAAAGCATTGTCCAGACCCTCCCGTATTAGTTGACTGAGGCTGGAGTCTTTGATTTTGCGAAGCTTGAGATTGTTGAGCTTGAGGCTGCAGTCCTCTTCGTCCTTGACCCCCAGTTGGTTGACTTTGGTAATTCTGAGCTGAGGATTGGCACTGCGATTGCTGGCCTTGCATTTGTTGATTCTGGTTCTGACATTGCTGACCCTGTGCTTGTTGCGCTTGTCCTTGCGATTTCTGTACCTGGTCTTGGTTCATGACCTGAATTCCATCTTGCATGAGATGATATCCAACACCATCGTCTGATAAAGCTACCGGTGCCTGTACCAGCAAGGCTGTAACTAATGCTATAATCTGTCGTATTAACATTGAGAGTTTGAACTCATATGCGTATGGATTCACAAATGATAGCAATATAAATTACGAAGAGAACCAGCCCTTGAGAGTGTTGAGCCTCGGGTCCCTGTGTCTAATATCAATGTGTTCATTCCCTAGATTTTAAGTTCGACCAGTAAAAGCCACAAAAACATACCCGCCCCCTGGTTTCCATTTTCTGAGATGTTAATCTAAATGAGGAGCAGCTTGCGGGAGTCTTTGTCAAGGAGGGAAGATTACCAAGGATTTGGTTGTAATGTGAATAGCATTAGCCTTTCCATTGGCGTTACCGCCAAAAATAGTATCCTTCCATTCGATGATTTAGGTCTTGCATATGAAAAAAGGGTTACAAAATTGTAAAACAATCTATAGAAGAGATAAATTGAAACAGGCCAGCTCGACAATTTAAAATGCTTGGTGAATGAAACAAATGTCACAAATTTCCAGAAGACGAAACAGTTGCACGGTCTTTTTACCATGCTGCGAATCTGGGACTCAATAATATCAGAGACGATAGCAGAGAGATTAGATTTAATATTTTCTTGGGTTATGCTTAGCCTTGAGAAATTTTTCCACCAGAGGTAATTGAATCAGATGAATATAATGAGACCACAAACTGTACAAGATACGTGGTTGTTGTCCTGTCCGCCAGAAGATGTGCCGTCGGTACTATACTACAGTCTTAACACAAAGCACAGGGACTTTTCGTATATCGAGATGTGTCAACAGTTTAGCTGATTGGATAACCACATGGACCCGATTTCAGATAAATCATTCAAGCGTTCTCTGACTTCCAGATAGATATTTCCAGCCCTGCCAAGACTTCTTCAAACCCAAGTTGTCCATATTCTTTTATGCTCGGACTATTCAGGTTCTAGCGGACCCTCTAAAATATTGTTTTAGAACAGTACCCCATTGATGACTAGGTAGAAAGATTCTCCAGTTACTAGTACATACTGTATGGGATATCGCCGAGAGCCATCTACTTCTAGCTGAATTTGGCATTCTCATCTTCAAGTCATTAGACAAAAACCGGCATCTGTTTTAATATGCAGCAAGCCAATCAATGATCCAGCCTTTGATTCTGAAGCTGTGGATATTCACCAAGTGACTTCTAAATAACTGATGTTACCTGGTTAAGCTATGAGTACCCAAAACTGCGGCTGCCAAATATCCGACCAAATTTGGCCAGAAACTGCTTCATCACCCCATTGGGAGAAAATTACTGATTATTATTGAATTTGAAGCAGATGTGACATGAAAGACGTGCAAGACAGTAGATGTTCTACTACCAAGTAGATACATGGTTGAGTAAGCAAATTCAGATTCAAATTTTCTCAATCACGGGCCTCAAGCACAAACGCAGTCATGTCCCAGCGGTATCAAGTCTCTCAGTACTTCCAATTGAAAGGAACATGTATCGTGGCTCCAAATCTCGAGCTTATTCCCTGTTCTCCCCTGGCATAAATGGGCAACCTGTGGAGAGCACCGCAGCCTCTGACTGTTCGGCCGCATATCCTTCCCCATGTAACAATGTTGTTAGATCGTCCTTGCTCCCTTTGGGCAACTCGGATTTCTTGACATCACTTTTGTTCGCTATCTGTCGGAACATCTCGAGGGGATCGTAGAATATCTCTACAGCTTGGAGACGTACTGCTGAGTCGACCTTCGCTATTGCGACACCTTGAATGTCAATTGTTCCACCATGCGAGGGAATGGTTACCTTTTCGCTTTTGCTAATTGAGGTCAACGCAGGGCAAGGGGAAGAAGATGTGAAGGTGGAAGGAGATATGAACGTACTCATTAATCCCAACATAATCATTCTTCATGATACCCCAATGTCTCCATTTGAAACTAACGGTTGGTGGCCCACTGTACACCTCTAATACCTCCCACGCGAAGGTTGGTATCATCCTTTTAAACGTCTTGTGACTGCTCGAAAAGTCTGATTTTTCCGGAGAATAGTATTCGTTCGATGTAAGGATAGCATTATAAGTGCCCACTTTCAACATATATTCACCTGTAACGGGCGCAGAGCCATTGATAGAGAATGAGAAATTGGGATGATCGATGGTGCGCCAGTCAGAAATCTCAGTTTTGAAAGAGGCTTCTACTTCCCAGTTCTTGACGAGGTTTTCGACAAGAGAGGGTAGGGACGCAGCTGTGTGACTTTGTGTTTTGGCTGCGAGAAGTTAATGAATGCTCCTCTTTGTAGATGATGATCTGCTACAGAATTTACATACTCTGTGCCCAGACTCTTCTTGTATTCGTATAGTCCGGTGGCTGATTGTATCGCCATTTGGCATCAACATCCTTCATTACTGCATTAGGGTCCAGAAGGTAATCTGGTAGACCAGTTGTGTCTGCGGGCGGTGTTTCTACGTGTGCCGAAGCCATCTTCTCTGCTGGAGTCAGATGTTAGCAAGGAAAAAAGAGAGTCAGTCGACAAACTTAAATTGTAGATCAAAACCACTCTTTAGATTTCAATTGCAGATAGTGGAATATATACACTTGAATAGTCTTACAGCTACAAACACACTGAAGAATAGCCCGCGAATGAACGGGCAGCATATCCAAAACTTTTCAAACGGCATGCAACGTCTCAACCGATAGGCTCATCGTCAATTCTTGCTCCTTGCATGCCGCTGGCATACTACTTCGTGTATCAGTAGGTTCAATAATTCGTTGATCCGTCAAACTGGTCGCTGCAGTGGCTGCACTACCAAATCCAGCTTACCTTTGCGAAAGTATTTACAATATCATTGGCCTGGATAAACGCCTTACTTATATGCTGACTTCGTGTGGGCTTGGCCCGAGAATCGACGAGATCCTTGTTGCTTGGAGACAAAGGTCCTCTCACCCTAAATATAGGATGTTCGATAATGGCTGGTACAAAAATTATTCACCGATAATCAGAAGAAAAGGTTCATGCTGCGACGCGTACACCTGTAAGATCTAGGTGATCGCTTCCAGCCGTGGGCCAAACATACTAGGTCAACCTAGTTACAGAATGCTTGCCAATGGTAACGTAGCACAGCATTGAAGCACGAATAACTATATTCATCGAGCACACCGATTTTCAGGTCATTGGTAGGACTGATTGTCCAAGAGCAGAAATAGTAAACGAACACACAGCTTATTCCGACCTTCTTGATTGCATAGATTTTAACTTTAATATGCTTCTGCAGAAGATCTCTAGTCATTGAAATGGGTGTGTCTTTCTGTGAAAAAGTAAATGTGCTGAGCAGTTGAGACTCATTCATGTTCGAGATGACATGGTGACTTTTGGCACGATCTGTGATGAAAGTCCTGAGCTTCATCAATTACATACCTATGTAGTAAGTATATGGATCGTCAAAATGGGACTTCCTATCAGATCATGGCTGAAAGTTTTATGGGGGCGTGGGGAAGTAGTGGCGACACTTTTCACCGCTCGGCAATATATTTACTATTCTTGAAGTGATACCATCCATCCTATGGATTGATCAATTTTTCTAATCGACTGAAATATTCTTTCCACAATGGCTAAATCAAAGGGCAAGAGGAAGCAGCAAAGTCTGCCTATTGAGCAAAATATCAAGAAAGTCAAGACTACAAGTATTATCACTCCACCTCCGGAGCTTTCGACTGAACCTAAGACTCTTCACGACCTTCTAATCGCCGAGGAAGATATCGAAATATCCGTTGACACCCTTAAAATATTAGCGCAGAATCCTGCTCTGATAAAATCGAAGGCATGCAAGGAATTGCGGACTGCGGTTTTCGACTTCCGAAATGCTTGCACAACAGGCTTCAATGCGTCTAGTATGCTATCTATCCATCCGCATCACTAATTGCGAGCACTAATTTTGGTGTAGTCGACACAAACCCCACGGCTCGCATTAGCGGCGCTCTCGCAGATGAAGGCTATACAGAAGCTAGAATTCTACTTGCGGAGATGCGAATTCGAGGGCAAAAGCCCAAGCTAGGTGCGCTCTGCCGATGGGTTCGGGATTTAGACGTTGTGAGTGGTTTAGCAGAGCAACTTGACGAGACCGCAGCCAAGCGAACGGCGAGAGAGGAGCAATTATTGGTTGTGCTAGATGCGATACTTCGAGTCACAGGCCCAGTGGACTATTCGATTGAGGATGGTGTAGACACAAATGGTCCCATTGTACCAAGAAAAGCATGGAACTTAAGGGATGAGTCAATACCGCGCAAGCAGACCTACAATTCGGTTCTCGACGGTAGCATATTCAATCACTTGCCAAAAGATATCAAGTCTCGATTCCGAGTCATAGAAACAACACCAGGATTGGAGCGCAAGCCAGCAAACCTCCATCCGGCGATCCTCTGGACATCACAGGACAATGCCATTGCCTTTTCTGATACTCCTCCAAAGACAACTCACCATACACATCCAATTGTGCCAAATCTACATCTACTTAAGGATATTTTGAGCCCAGAAGAATGCATTCGAATCATTGCTGCTGGCGAGACAGTGGGATTTACACCAGATGCCCCAATACGCGAGGAAGGTGAGGAGAATAGTATCTTGGCTCACAACTTTTATTGGGTTGTGGATAATGCTTTATGCGATGGATTGTGGAACAGAGTTAAAGAGTTTGTTCCAACGCAAGTCAATGGAAAACAGGTAAGAGGTCTGAACAGAAGATTTCGTGTATACCGCTACGTTCCTGGTGCGGAATATCGTGCCCATATTGGTAAGCAGCCCCCTTTCTCATCAGTTCCATCTTGCTAATGATACAGATGGTGCTTGGCCCCCTTCCGGAATTGACCCCACGAATGATAAATACATCTATGACTCCTCTCCACCTGAAGCAAAGCAGTCTTCATTATTCACATTCTTGATATATCTGAACGATGAGTTTGACGCTGGAGAGACAACTTATTTCCTTCCAAGCGCCAAAGAAGGTAGCATGAATGCGTATTCAATAAAGCCGATTCAAGGTAGTGTGGCAATGTTTCCGCATGGTGAAACTGAGGGTAGTCTACTTCACGAAGGCACCGGTGTTAAACGAAGCTCGAGTGCTTCAGCAAAGTACGTCATCCGAACTGACGTTTTATACGATGTCGATAGCAGATGAAAAGATCTATTTGCAGATCAACAAGTATGATACCAAAAAGCTCGGAATATATTAATTCCAAAGAAAACCTAGTCCACGTGCCAAGACCATCCCTCCCAATAAGCTCAGTGTAATACAAGAGAACCAAGAGTGCTAAATAAACCCAGACGCTTTATTGCGTCAAAATTTGGTTGTTGTGTTTCTGTTAGTAAGTACCGAACGGGGATTCGGACCGGGAGTAAAGTGGTGGTTTGTGGGGAATTTATGCTAAAGTCAAATTCTGCACCCCATGGGGCTTACCAGCCAATACAAACCAATTACATACATTTAACTTCTGTATTTAAAGTGCTTGATTTTTCGGAGTGCGTTGATGAATGCTTGGTGAAAGGCACATCGGATTTTACATCCACTATCATGTCCACTGTTAGAAGTACAGTGGGCTCTTGGTGTTGTCAGTTCGTCATCGCCATGGATGACTCAAGTCATCTGGTACACGGTGAGACTCGGACGTTCTCGCCGTATCTCAGGATGTTTACCAAGGGTTCATTGCCGATTCAAATTACTTTTCCAAATTGCATGACCAGCCGTTATTCCGCAGTGACTTCATTACCCTGATCTCACACGTCAAAGCTTGAGTGCAAACGTGAGTATATAGTAGTGGCCTACCATTTCTCATTTCTACCTTCTCTGTGCCTCCAATTCTGTTCTCTCATGTATGCTGTCTTTTCATACAGTTAAAATGCATTTTTACTCTTTTATCCTTCTAGCATTATCTACCCCCATCCATGCCGCAGCAGGTGATGGGAATTGGAATGCGGCATATACCAAAGCTAAAACAGCTTTGGCCAAACTTACAAATGCGAACAAGGTTACGCTAGTTACAGGCGTTGGATGGGAGAAGGGGCCTTGCGTTGGCAATACTGCTGCTATTCCTTCGATTGGATGGCCGGCTTTTTGTTTACAAGATGGTCCTTTGGGGTATGTAATTTTCTGTGGATTTATGAAAGAACGACATGACCACTGAAAAGGGGTAATATTTAGTGTTGTTGATATTGACGTGAGATAGAGTTCGATATGCTCAAAAAGCAACCGCGTTTCCTGCTGGAATTACGACAGGTAGCACGTGGGATACAGAGTTGATGTATGCGAGGGGTAATGCTCTAGGTATGGTGGTACCCATTCTATGACTATCGTGATTGAGCCGAAAATGCAGATGGATGAAAGCTCATTCTACATTATAGGGGCCGAAGCCAAAGCACTCGGTGTTCATAATCAGCTAGGTCCTGTGGCTGGACCTTTGGGGAAGATTCCAGTGGTTCGTAGCTCACTATCTCCTATTTCTTAGTGGATTATCTGAGAAAATACTGATATTGAACAGGGGGGGAGGAATTGGGAAGGGTTTAGTAATGATCCTTATCTTTCCGGTGTTGCCATGGCGAATGTGAGACTTCATTCCATCGTCTTTCCCAGCTTGTCGAGAGACTAGAATGGCATGTATTGACGTTGAACCCATAGACGGTAGAGGGCATGCAAGCAGCAGGTGTCCAAGCATGTGCAAAACATTACCGTAAGTTGTTGCATATTCATGGCATTTGCTATCTAACCATGTGCGCTAGTTGGGAATGAACAGGAATTGAATCGAGGAACAATGAGTTCGAACATTATCGATAGAGTTAACCACGAAGTGCGTTTCCACCTATCATCTCGGATTAAGCGTGGTACTTACAATGATGTAGTTGTATCTTTGGCCCTTCGCGGAAGCAGTGAATGCAAACGTTGCATCGGTGATGTGTTCATACAACAGGTTTAACAGCTCGTACGCTTGTGAAAACCAAGCTTTACTTACGGGATTGTTGAAAAACGAGTTGGACTTTCAAGGTTATGTTGTTAGTGGTATGTATCGCATCAGAACGAATTGTGTCTGAGATACAATCTTGTTGAGAAGTTCTGACGAGTGTACAGATTGGGCAGCGCAGAAAACTACTACGGGTAGCGCAAATGCAGGAATGGATATGGCGATGCCAGGAGACAATTTTGGCGACAATAATTTCATATGGGGAACTAATCTTCTCAATGCCGTTAACGCGTAAGTTTACCGAATGATACCTTCATCATAATGTATATCCACGTATTCCATCTAACAACTCCACAGCGGCACAGTCCCCCAAACCCGTCTTGACGACATGGCCACTCGTATTCTAGCCTCCTGGTATTATCTCGGTCAAGATACAAACTATCCCGTTGTAAGCGGCTGGAGTTCCTGGAATGGTGGAGTTGGCGGTCCCAATGTTTCTTCAACCCATAATACTGTTGCTCGAGCTGTTGCTCGTGATGGCATTGTTCTTTTGAAGAATACCAATAATGCATTGCCGCTGAAGAAACCGGCCAGTCTAGCATTGATTGGTCAGGATGCGATTGTCAATCCAGCCGGCGCGAATGCATGTACAGATAGGGGCTGTGATACGGGAACTTTAGCTATGGTGAGTCATGTGGTTTCTCTCTTCTGCACGTTACTGCTCTTGATTCGAAGGAAATGGATCTAATTGCGATATATAGGGTTGGGGTTCAGGAACAGCCAACTTCCCATATTTAGTGGCACCATATGATGCACTCAAAGTCAAGGCCGCTGCAGATGGCACGACCTTGACTCTTTCAAATACAGATTCAACATCAACAGGAGCTTCGGTGGCAAGCGCTGCCGCTACAGCCATTGTGTTTATCAATTCCGACGCAGGCGAAGAATATATAACTGTAAGTTTCCAAATTGTATTCAAAGCCTCTCTTACTTACCCTCAAAACAGGTTGAGGGAGCCAAAGGCGACCGCATAAATCTCGATCCCTGGCACTCAGGCAACGCACTCGTCGCGGCCGTTGCGGCCGTAAACAAAAACACAATCGTAGTAATCCACAGCGTCGGGCCCCTCATACTCGAAAGCATCCTCGCGCTCCCTAACGTCATCGCAATCGTCTGGGCCGGTCTCCCTGGTCAAGAATCCGGAAACGCGCTCGTGGATATCCTATACGGCTCCGTGTCTCCCTCCGGAAAACTCCCGTACACAATCGCCAAGACGCAAGCGGATTATGGCACTGCCATTGCGAGTGGCGATGATAGTTATGCCGAGGGATTGTTTATCGATTACAGACATTTCGATCAGAGTTCCATCGTGCCGCGATATGAATTTGGGTTTGGACTGAGCTATACTTCATTTTCATATGCGAATCTCGTTCTCTCGTCGATTTCTACGACGCCTGGAAGTAGCGCTCTTCTGCCGGGAGGAAAAGCCAATCTCTACGATGCCATCGCTACAGTCTCGGTATCGGTCACCAATAACGGCACGGTTTCCGGCGCCGAAGTAGCACAGCTCTACATTGGATTCCCGAGCTCGGTTGCAAACACTCCCCCGAAACAACTCCGCGGGTTCAAGAAAACCAATCTCGCAGCGGGTGTCACGAACAGTATCACATTCTCGCTCCGCAGAAAAGATTTGAGTTACTGGGATACGACGACGCAGTCGTGGATCCTCCCCGCCGGAACATTCAACGTGTATGTGGGAAGTAGTAGTCGGGATATCCGGTTGAGCGGGACCCTTTCGAGTTCTGGCGCTGGGACCAGTACCGGTGCGGGTTCAACTTCTACTTCCAGTGCAGGTGCGTCGACTTCTTTATCGACTACTTCTCTGACCTCGACGACCACACCGACTCTCACGACGAAAACTAGCTCGAGTAGTATCGCGAGCACGACGACGTCTTCTGCGGCTGGGCCTCAGCAAACGCTCTATGGACAGTGTGGAGGAACGGGGTATACAGGACCGACCGCTTGCGCGAGTGGGAGTTGTAAAGTTAGTAATGCTTATTACAGTGAGTGAATTTCATATTTCGTATCTTGGGTCTGAGGGATTGAGAGAGATGGTCGTGGAGTTAGGGACTGATGAGAGATAGGTCAATGTTTACCTTGATGATGTTTGCAACTTTGAGATGAAGGAGAGAGAGAGAAGAGGAAAAGGAGGAGGTATGGGATTGGATGAGGGAATTCTTGTGTTGGGGAGATGGAGTGGCTAGTTTGAAATATACAAAGGGGGGCTAAGATTAAGATTAAGATGTATATACGTATGTATTTACACATTTACACACTTATACACCTGTATATTCGAAGCGATTTCACTAACGAGAATCTTGACGCGAGTTGGTTTTCTAAATGCTATCTCATCGTCTCATTATATCTTTTGTATCTAAGATTAATATAATCATTGTTGTTATTGTTATTCGCTTACTAGGTAGTATAATCACTTCTACTGGCTGGAAAACCTCTCAAAAAAGTGAAAACCATGAAACACTGATTTCGGGGTATCCTTAAAAAAAAATATATATACTCCATGACGCCGTACTTATTCACTAACCTTCGTCTCTTCCAATGAAGTAGCGTTGTTTTGGGTGTTGTCCTACACGCCTATTTTATGCTTTGGGGTTGATATGGTGTATGATGAACTCCTTTAATGAACATGGCGTTGTGTCTACCAGTGGTGGTAGTAGATTGTCGGATGAGACGCTTATGGTAATTGCAATACTCGGATCCTTCGTACTTGACCATCTCCCAAAGTCTACAAAAGATATTGCTTGCCAGCCTTTGACGGTGTCTTTCTTCTCTTCCAAGAATTGTGAATATATTCATGAGTGGATCATGCATCATATCATCTTGCTCCTCGAGGACTACTATATAACACACTGCTATCGTGCGATATAAGATTCGAAAGATCCATCGAGTTTTGAGTACCATCACTCCTAACCATACTCGCACCATGACCTCCATGATTTCCAGCCGGAAGACTTTCAGCTTCACTTTCCTCCTCACTGCTATCAATTTCATCTTCTGTGTCCGTATGTTCATACCCTTCGTCGGCTTCAGGAATATCATCATCAAGATCGACTTCCATATCTTCGTCTTGATTTTCTTCTTCATGCTCATGTACTAGATCTTCCTCTTGTAGCATTTGCGATTGCTCTTCCTCTGCAATGGTCGAAGCGCCATCATCTTCGAGCATTGAACCTCGGGGAGCTCCGAGACGTGTTATCGCATCTCTGTAAGCTTCATCCGTCATGCGAGAAGCTGCGAGTGCTCTGGGAACATCCTCGAGATCGTTTTCTTCATCTTCTTCATCATCTTCGCTAGCATCAGATGAATCACTAGGTCCCATTCCCGTCTCGTCCGCATCAGGAATCTCATCATCAAGATCCACCATACCGTCCATCTCACCCTCAAGATCCTCAGTCGGTATCATTGCCTCCGCCTCCGCCTGTTCCGCTTCGGCAAGTTCTTGTGCCAATTGTTCTCGTCTCATTGCTTCTTGATGTTCTTCCATTTCTCTCTTCTCTTCTCTCAATTGATGTAATGATTTTGCTACTCCAGGAGGCTTAATCCAGGAACTTCCCCAGTTTTGTACATTTTGCTTTCTCCTCTCGATGTATTCTTCATCTAAGCGTAGTCGTGCTAGAGGTGTTCTATTGCTGGCTTGTTGACGACGTGAGCCGTGATTTTGGTTTGATGCAATATGGGGAGCGGTATGATCAAATGCATTGTTTGTGGGTTCTGTGTGCTGGGGAGTGTTGCTATGAGATGATGTGTACCAGAGATTGTAGGACTGATGTATGAGTTAGTTATGACTTTCAGGTAAACAAAGCTTATGGGCTGTGTACGCACGTCTGTCGGGGCAAGGTTTGGAAGGGAAAACATGACTGTAATAGTTTGGTGCTTGGGGAACACAGCAATGATGAAAGGGTTATATATTGTTGGCCAGCTGTACTATGATGCTGGGATGGTGGTGCTCATGGAGGAATTCCAGAATTGTTGTACCAAACTCGATAGCCTGCCTGCCTCTTCTTTCCTTTGAGCCTTGGCCTGATATCAATTAACTCAGCCTTGTGGGATGGTTGCGGGCGACGCAGCCTTGTTTTGGCGGTGAAATGGGTATGGCAGAATTAAATATTTCCCAGCCATGTTCGGTTAAGATTCGTCAAGGTTCTTCACTCATATTCACAGATGTGATGAATGCCTAGAATACTTAGTATTACTTTCATGTGGTCGATACAGCCACAAATCTGATCAAATGTCATATGCCTACCCGTGGACTGCGTAGATACGATACCTCCGTTTTATCTTGGCTCGTTTCCCGTAGTTTCCAAAGTACAAGATATGATTCTGCTTCTGATTCTTACCTGTTGGAACTATCAATCTTCTCAGAGCTTCTGTGATCAAGTGTACCAAGTCTAGAATCCAGATCTGTGCAGAATAGCATGCCATTTCAAGTCACCTTGAAAAGGTGTCGGTACGAGTTGCTGTGATCTTGCTGTCCTATTTTATAAATATAAACCCCTGGTAGTTGGACATAAAACAATGCTAAATCATTATAAATGAATATCATATTCTAGCCTCGTCTTGAGTCCCCGATCTCACCCGACATGTAAAGCAAAATGCATTGTACTGTAGCATTATTGTTCTGACAAACAACTACCTAGTACCTACCAAGTCTCCATAATCTTATTGACCGCCATGTTCTCTATTGATGTGATCGGAGGAGAAAATTTCTCGTATTGTATAAAATGAAATTGATTCCTTTTTCTGCCAACCAAAGACCTCGTGCTGCATGCATCGGTCGGATCCGGGGAATTCTCTTTCGTGGCCTGTTCTCTCCTCCGTCTCCTCGACTTTTTCGACGAGAGTTACACATGTCACAAGCAACTCGCATGAAGGAAAAACGTCAGATTTGCTTGTCTGCCACTCTGCAATGCGGCATGCACTTGAAGGTGGGATATTTCCTTCATAGCTGTATGAACAGGGGCTGGGGGACATACCCCTCACTCAATCAATCTCAATGGTAATCTGCCTATCTACAGCTCGTAATTGGTCAGATCTCTAGATGTTCACGTTCCTGTGTGTAAATTTTTTTTGCATCGCGGGGATCCTTGCCGCCGCTACCAATGGGAATCGATTCGAAGATCGATATCATCACCTCAAAGTCGTTCCCAATCTGATCCCATATCTCACGTTGAATGAGGTTCATCGTCTGCCTATCCTGGCATGGCTACTCTCTTCTAGACATGTTAGAGCATCTCCGGATGGTGCTTTTGAGCCAATGATCAGTCCAACATAGGTAATGTTACCCATAAAATCTTCCTGTATATTGGCCAAACTTCACTGGAGCGACATCGGCAGAAAAGTTAAGTTATATCGAGAGTCGAGCTCCATGAAGTTGTTCTCGGTGAGATATTTCATTGGTCGATTAGAGAACTGGCCAATTCACACCATGCAAAGATCCTTGACCTTGTCGATGCAGACAAGTGTGGGGGAAATAAACGTATATTTTTTATATGATTTTGATAGTACTCTGTATCGTAGAGTATTACATTACCTAGATCCTGTGCTACAACATACGACGGATTAGACTGTAAACTCTCTTCTTGACACTTGTATTGGAATGAAGTTTAAGGGAGTATATAAATACTTGAGGTGGTTGAACCAAAGGTTGTATTTGTAGCAACATTGAAAATACCTGTATGTACCTAGGTATCTACCGATAGTCTTGAACACCACCCACCTTCTACGTATACACCAAGGAGATTGACGACGAATAGTTCCCGTACCTAGGTAGTCGAAAGTCTGTCTTGTAGAGAAGGCTTTCCCGAGTGGCACATACTAGGTACCTTTTTACCTTTCCTTACGTCCTAAGTAGGTTTCTCTAATGCGTGTGGGAAAAAGTGTAATAGATATACCGGCAATAGGTGTCATAGGTGTCATAAGTATAAGTGTCATACTCGTAAGTGCAATCAAGTGAATGAGATCCAACAAAAACAAAAACAAATTCAAATTCAAATTCAAATTCAAATTACAATTATAATTATTGAATCAGCAGCCGCGTCCCTAGTATCAAACGAATTATTGGACAATTTTGGACGGCCTGCTCCGATTCGCGCTGGATATTCATTCTCCACCTCTGTCTGGAGATCATATTCCTCATAAACTCATAGAAGCCTGCCTCCCTCTTAAACTGTACTTGATCCTCCTCTTTGTCAGATCTAATATCCCAAAGTGTATCTATCTATCTACTACATCAGTCTTCGTGCAGTTGTTGTCGTGGCAAAATCTCCAAACCTTTTGAAGCAATAGCTTTTCTGTACGTGCAATTCCTTTTTCATGACCCCTCGCCCCTCGTCTTATCTGGAACGCCGCCCACTATTATGATGTCCATACAAATTCCACACAGCCAGTAATACTTCAATTATTACCAAAATAACTGGAGGTGGCAATTGATTCGATCCACAAACTTCAACTATTTACACATATGAAAAGATCTTCTACCAAGAGGATACAATTGTTTTGTTTTACAACGCCAGATCAATCAGTCGATTTTCATACCGCAAGGAGAAAGTTACAGGCTACACGTCTTCTGCGCTAAGTCAATCAAGTGTTGGACTTCACACAAAATTTACTCCGCACAATCGTCAATAAATCTTGCTGAGAAAAGAAAAAGTTCTTTGTTCGACAACCAAAATTCTTCCATACTTTGAGCTAATTTCCTCTTCGAGATACCAGAAAACATTATTCGCACGAACTCAAAACCCTCTTGACACTTCATACCTCAACACAATAAATAATAAAGAGCTGCGCTCTCAACATCAAACCAAAATCGATCCTACAATCGCCGGCTGCCTTGCCTACGATGGGCATTGGAAGGGCGGAAGATTTTAACGACAGACAAACTGAGATTGATGCGAGGAATGAGCCTTACAATCAATATCAATATGAGGCTGAAGGAAATGATTCATGGGCTGGAGCACTCCCAGTGAAGCAGTGAGTACCGCGGTCTGCCACAACCTCTTATTGAGCTTCACTAATCAAAAAACAGGGGTTTATATGATCCTAGCTTGGAGAAGGATGCTTGTGGTGTTGGTTTTGCTTGGTGAG